TGTATGTATAGAACAGACATATCCCCTGCCATTGATGAAAGACCTCCTTGCTCATCTAGTTGCTGGGAAAATCTTCACGAAATTAGACCTTCGTGAAGCATACTATAGGGTGAGGATTAAGAAAGGGGACAAGTGGAAGACAGCGTTTAATTGCCCGCTGGGCAGCTATCAATTTAAAGTGATTCCTTTCGGGTTGCAAGGGGCCCCAGCTGTATTCATGCAGCTTATTAACGAAGTTTTGCACGAACATCTGTACCGGGGTGTGCTGGTATATCTGGACGATATACTCATCTATTCCCAAACATTGGAGGAGCATGTGAAGTTGGTGCGCACTGTGCTGAAAAAATTGTTAGACGCCCGGCTATATTGTAAGCTATCAAAGTACGAATTTCACAAGGAGCGCATTGAATACCTAGGATTCCGAGTTTCAGCAGCCGGTATAGAGATGGATCCCAGTAAAGTACGAACTGTATTAGAGTGGCAAGCCCCAAAGACCCGCCGTCAATTACAACGGTTCTTGGGGTTTGCTAATTTCTATCGGCAATTTATTCCCTCTTTTGCTGATGTGGCACTCCCATTGACCCAGCTATTGCGTACCAAGCATATTGCAGGGAAACCCCGCCCGGGACAATCCTTGAACTGGACTGTTGCTTGTCAAAGAGCATTCGAGTCCTTAAAGACATTATTCGCTCAAGAACCTGTATTAGTACATCCTGATCCGGGGCGGCTGTTTGTTGTACAGGCCGATGCGAGCGACGTGGCAGTCGGAGCGGTATTATTGCAACGTAATGACCAAGGTACTCTACAACCTTGCGCTTATACCTCCAAGAAGTTCACTGATACAGAAAGACGCTGGGCGGTATGGGAAAAGGAAGCATTTGCCGTGAAATGGGCCCTGTCCACGTGGCGCCATTTGTTGGAGGGCGCATAGCATCCCTTTGAGGTGTGGACAGACCATAAGAATTTAACGGTCCTCCAGACACCGAGGAGATTAGCTCCCAAACATGTTCGTTGGGCGCAATATTTCCAACGATTTAGGTTTCATTTTAAAGTTGTTCCAGGAGGGAAGAATTTCTTAGCGGACGCACTCTCACGTCTGCCACAATACGACAGCAAAAAGGAAGAGGTGATCCAAGCTATCATGCCTTCTGGCAGTGTTGAAGTCATATGAGCAGATGCCTGCGAAAAAACGACAGCATTCGAGGATGAAGTAAAGTCTGCTTTGTTAAATGACTCTTGGTCACTAGCTAATCCTGGATTGTTGACCTACCGAGATGGTTTAGCCTGGCACGGTGATAGACTATACATTCCACAGCAGTTACGGGACCGAGTGTACCACCGGTGCCATGATTCCAAATTAGCAGGCCATTTTGGGTTTTTGAAAACATTACATTTGGCGAGACGGCAGTTCTGGTGGCCGAGTTTGCGGAAGGACATTGAAAGTTATGTGAAAGGTTGTCATATTTGTGCACAGGCGAAGGTAATTCCTAAAAAACCAATGGGATTACTCCAGTCAGTGTCTAATCCAACTCGGCCATGGCAGGACATTGGGATGGACTTTATAGTAGATTTACCAAATGTAAAAGGATATAGTTATATGGACGGTGGTCGATTTATTTTCAAAGCAAGCCCATTTCATACCGTGTAAGGGACTACCATCAGCGAGGAAATTGGCTAAAATGTTCGTACACCAAGTGTTCCGACTGCATGGGGCGCCTCGCCGGATTATTTCGGACCGAGGTGTCCAATTTACAGCTCATTTCTGGCGGCAATTTCTGAAGTTTATTGGTACCACACAAGGGCTGAGTTCTGCATATCACCCTTGTACTAATGGGGCGGCGGAGTGGGCCAATGCGGCTATAGAGAGATATCTCCGATGTTACGTGTCCTACCAACAGTCCAATTGGGTAGATTTGGTACCATTTGCGGAGATTGCGTATAACAATGCGGTACATAAAAGTACTGGCCTAACCCCATTCCAAGTGGTATATGGGCATGATATTACTCCACTACCGGAAAGTAGAAACCGGGAAACCCAGGTCGGTCAACCAAATGAGTGGTTGTCGCGAGTAGGTAAGGTTTGGAGTACAGTACGACACGCTCTGCAGTGGGCAGCTCAGACATCAAAGTATCAGGCAGATAAAGGTCGCAGAATGCCATTTCAATTACGGGTAGGCGACCTGGTATATTTGTCAACCAAGTATATTAAGTTGCAGGTGCCATGCAGAAAATTAGCACCAAAATACATCGGACCATTTCGTATACTCCAGATCCTCAATCCTGTGACGGTGAAGCTCCACTTACCGAAACTACTTGGTAAGATACACCCGGTTTTTCATGTAAGTTTGTTGACACCCATGGGAGGACCGTCCCATGAGACACCCCCAGGACCTGTTACGCCAGGACGATATGAAATACAGGACATAATTGATTCGCGAGTAAGGGGGGGTAGACTCTATTATCTAATATTGTGGAAGGGATACCCTCTGTCCGAAGCCTCTTGGATAGAAAAACACGATATATCCGCTCCTGATCTAATCCGTCAGTATCACAGAGCACTACCACACAAACCAGGGGGTGACTAGAAAGGTTATTGTATGTGAACATTGGCATGATTAATCAATTTCCCATTTCTCACCTTCAGGGGGCCCTGTGGTGAGGGGGGCCAAATGTCAGACCCAGCGTGATACTTACCTTCCAAAGTCCGGAATGTTCCAGTTAACCATGTGTTCCAGCCGAGTCCGGTAGCTTCGTGAGCTACATCGCCAACAGCGGCAGCCGAACAGGTCACGTGAACATCCTATGTTGCCAGCACACAACCGGACGGAGGCTACATAGAAATGGAATATGGAGAAGCCGAATGCTGTTAAAACTGTTATGGCTTATGTTGCTGGAACCGTGATCTGTGAATGATGGGAACTGGGACGCTGGGTCTGACAACACTTGGATACCGGGAGGGGGTATTATAGGAAGAGGTTGAGTAGGACATTAGGAATGAGAATGGCGTGAACGGAACGCATGGATTCAATGTAAGGTTCGAACATAAGTACTAGCTGGATCGGGGCGTGGACTCAATGTAAGGTTCGAACATAAGTACTAGCTGGATCGGGGCGTAGGTAGGGTGGAGGACTATCATGAGGCAGGTATGGGGAGGGGGACAGGTGGATTCCAGATGACCAATTAACCGGCAATTGGGGTGTGTACTCTGGGTGTGGTGGAGGAATGTATTTAGGGCAATGAATGGAGCTTCGTTCCAGTGCTAACTTAGTTTCAACATAGTGAATAAAGCTTGTTGAATACTGCAACGTTCCTGTTTCCTGGCTTTCGCGAAGCGCGGTTAGGACGTTCTGTTACCTGGCGATCTGTGGCGGGCCCTGGAGGCGGTGAGTGGCCCTGTGGGCAGGCGGGGCAGGGGATGGGGGGCGAAGCAGGGGTGGAGCGGGGGTGGGGCCAGTTTTTGGGCACTTGGTCTCTAAAAGGTTTGCCATCACTGATATAGGTCTTGCAACATTTTTGCTTACATGGAGGATAGGGCAATTGTGATGGCTAATTGCAATTTATTCCTTAGATTTATAACCCAAACCTAGGACCTCTTCAATTAACTCCCACAAAAGCAGTCCAAAAGTGCGACTTCTTTATCAGTCCCCCCCCCCCCCGATGTTTTCAAATGAAATTCTCAACAATCCTCATTGGTAGAACCAGTGGTTGGAATTAAGAGCTGATTCCAACTCTGGATAGGATCTCTGTTGCTCTAAATGTTAGCCCAGGGGCCTTCAAACCTGGCAACTTTTAAGACTTGTGGACTTCAACTTCCAGAATTCCTAAGCCAGCCCTGGCTGCTGAGGAATTTTGGGAGTTGAAGTCCACAAGTCTTAAAGTTGCCAAGTTTGAAGACCCTTGTGTTAGCCACATACATTTGCTCTTCTTCTGAATTCCTCAGAGAATCTTTCTTTGCTTGCAAAGGCTCATTTTTACAATGCTTTATGAATTGCTTCTTATTCTTATGTAGTTCCTTTGTCAACAAGAACCTTATTATCCGTATCATATGCAAATGCTGTAATGACTGACCTAAAATCACATCATAGATTTTATAGTTGACGGGTGGATTAAACCAAGATGTCCCTGATCCTCTTTGCCATCTTAACTCCCATACTATGCTTTCTCTTCTAAGGTGGGATTAAATGAAATTATACTTGACTTTGGCCTCGTCCATCAGGACCCTTATTTTCTTAATTAATTGCACAATACACAAGATACTGAGATCAAGAAAAGAAGCACATTCAGATTCCTACCTAAAATGAATCAGATGAATGACACAATGGAAAACAATTTCTGAACCCAGCTAGGAATTTCTTAATTTGAATATCATAGATGGTCACCTGTTCGACCATACAAATGCTTAAAAAGCCTCACAGTTTTCTTATTCACATATGAATAGTAAGGGATGAATGGCTGCTCCTTTAAAAAACAGTTTGAAATTTAATATTTATGACTCTTTTATAGTTTCCTTATTTTTCCTTGGGATTAATTATTCTTTTGCCTTGAAACCCTTCAATCATTTTAAATTGCTCAATTTAAATATTTCTGTTTCAGAAATATTTCTCTCTCAAGAAACGAGAGGAACCAAGCACTACATCTCTGTCCTCATTAAAGAGATAATTTAACAGATTAATGAATAAAAGTTCTAATAAAAATGAAATAAAATAACACAACCATGTGATCAGAATTTGGAGGGGGGCATCTTTAGAATTTCATCCTGCTTGTGGATATTGGAATAGACCTTGTCAGGAACATCCTTTGCACCTCTTCTTGTTCTTATATTTTTATCCTATTTTGATTTTGCTACTTGGATTGTGTGTTGTTTTAATTCTGCAGTTGTTGTTTTTTTGTTGTTGTTTTTTGTAAACTGGTCAGGAGTAATGAGATTATGGCCGGATTAAAACAAAAGGAGTCAACCAATAATTCCGGTTAAGATTCTCATTGCTAGATGCACACCACAGTTTTAAGAACATCAACATTTATTTATAACATGATATAAAAGAAATGAGATATGAACATTTGCCTTTGAACAATAATAAGGGGTTTCTTATACTTACATTAGTTGTGCTCATTGTATAATATATACACAATGAACATAATTACATTTGTACACAGACTTAACTGGAAATTGAATATACCTGCTTCTTGATATATATATACACCCTATTTCAACAGAGGAAAAAGAGCCCAGTCCATCCAGTTCCATTTCTTTTTGTAAAAAAAGGCAAAAAAAAAAAAAAGAGGAGTAAATACTAGCGTTCGTGAGTATGCGGATAGCAGAATGGCAGTAACTGACTTTGCAATCTGACTGGGATGTACTTACAGAACAACAACAAACAAAAAAGGACACATCTTAACTATGCAATGATTTTTTTTTTAAAAAAATGGCACATTTTAAATAGAGGGTGGTGGCATTGATTAATCAAAAAGTGAAAATGAGACATGATCAGCTTTGGAAAGAAACCATGTTTCAGGGTTGACAGCAAAAGAAACCAGTAAGGGGAGGCCCCAAAGGAATCCTTCCAAATTCAAACCCTTTCAGGAGGGGATGGTTCTGACTGTAGACCACCCATAAGAGAAAGAGGAAGAGGAGAACTCTCAGTTGTGTGAATGGAATGAATACAGAGCAGCGATAGCAGGAAGCTGGTGACAGCGGCAAGAACTCTTGAGTTGGTTGAGGGGGTAACGGTGGGGATATTTAAAGCTCTCTTGGAATAAATGTTTTCCACAATGTGATAAAATGATGCTCTATGGACAAAAGCATCGGAACTATGAATTTCATAGATTTCATAAAAGTGACTGTACAGCATCCTTGTCTTTCCACAGGCGTGTTTGGGAAGTCAGCCATGGATGGTCTCAGCAGAAGCCAGCAGGGCTGAAAAAGAAAGAAGTTTCTGTTGACACCCAAGAATCCAGGGGAAGAGGAACAGCATTTTTTTTTGGGGGGGGGGGGAAAATAGGGCAAGTCAGAATGAAACATCTTTAAAATCTCTGATTACCCAGACAGATCAGGGAAAGGAGAGGGATTTTTCCATACTTAGTCAAGGCAAAAACAGACTGAGGGAAGAAGCATCTCCTTTGACAAATACTGTTATAATCAAATATTGACAAACAGTCCTGAATATTATCAAATTATGAGGGCAAATTAGGTGTCATTTAAAGAGAACTGAACTCACTTGGAAGAAAACTATTTCCAGAAAGCCTAGATCAGGGGTAGGCAACCTTGGCTCTTTTATGACTCGTGGACTTCAACTCCCAGAATTCCTGAGCCAGCCATGCTGAGGGGAAAGGGAGAGGTTTCCAAGCTGAGCCATGCTGGCTCAGGAATTCTGGGAGTTGAAGTCCACGAGTCTAAAATTAGCCAAGGTTGAGGAGCCCTGATATAGGGCAGGGGTGGGGAACCTTGGCTCTTTTATGACTCATGGACTTCAACTCCCAGAATTCCTGAGCCAGCCATGCTGAGGGGAAAGGGAGAGGTTTCCAAGCTGAGCCATGCTGGCTCAGGAATTCTGGGAGTTGAAGTCCACGAGTCATAAAGGAGCCAAGGTTGCCTAGGCCCTGGCCAACATGGAAGAAACCCCTATAGGTGATCCTCAACTTATAACCATTTGTAGAGCAACTGTACATAATGGCACTGAAAAAAAGTGTCTTATGACCAGTCCTCGCACTTATGACCTCGCAACCATTGGAGCATCCCTGCAGTCACGTGATCAAAATTCAGGTGCTTGGCAACTGCCATGTGCTTAAGACTATTGCACTATCCTGGGGTCACGTGATCACCATTTGCAACCTTCCCAACCGGCTTCCAATAAGCAAAGTCAATGGGGGGAAGTGGGATTCACTTAACCACCACTCAAGATTCACTTAACAATTGTGATAAAAAAAAGGTTATAAAGTTGGGCACGATTCACTTAACAACCTGCCTTGCTTAGGAACTAAAATTCTGCTTCCAATTATGGTCATAGGTTGAGAACTACTTATTTGGCAGCCTTTCTGGGCACGAGCAGATATGTGGACCGGTTCCCAAAATTTTCAGCCCTGAAGTTCACCGACCCAGAAGCTGCCCAGGTTGGCTGTGACTTAATTGTCCTTTTCCACGGAAGTGGGATTGTTTCAGGAATGCAACAGTGAATCTGGTAATGCAGAACAGGTTTTCCACTGCTTTGTGTCAGACAGCTCAGAAGTGCTTCTCACTGAGCTATTAAACTTTGGCTTACTGTTACCGACTGGAGCTTAGGGCTTTCCTTGGTTGTTCTTTATGATCATTTACCTCAAGTCAACAAAATTAAAAAGAACACCAACAAGGCAAAACTGTGCCGACAATGTGAGATAAGTGGTAGAGTCCTTTCACTGTAGTCAATTAGTTCCTGGATAAGTCTTTGGCATCTCCAATTGAAGCAGGGTTCTTCAAACTTGGCCCTTTTCTGACTTGTGGACTTCAACTCCCAGAATTCCTCAGCCAGGCAGTGCCTGGCTGAGGAATTCTGGGAGTTGAAGTCCACAAGTCAGAAAAGGGCCAAGTTTGAAGAATCCTGAATTAAAGGAACCAATAACAGACAACGACAAAGAACCCTGGGGAGACTTCTTGTAGTATATGAATCTGGGAAACGATTTAATTGAACTATTTTAGATTTCTTTGCCATGCTGACAAAACTTTGGCTAAAATGCCCTGCACCCATCTGACCTCCTTAGGCGGCACTAAGGGCAACTGGAGTACATGCAATCCCCTGGATATGTTTTTGACAGTCTATGGCAGTGCTTCTCAACCTTGAGAATTTTAAGGCATGTGGACTTCAACTCCCAGAATTCCACAGCCAGCATTGCTGGCTGTGGAATTCTAGGAGTTGAAGTCCACATGCCTTAAAATTCTCAAGGTTGAGAAACACTGGTCTATGGATAGGAAACCCAACCTGCTGCTGCGGAGTTTCCCTTTGAAGTCTGTGCTGGCATCTCGAACGAAGGAGAAGAAACCATATCCTCCTGTTGCTCTTGAATTCCACTTTTTTCACTCTCTTCTGAGCTGCTTTCAAGCTTGTGGTTGATGACGGGGGCCTCCTTGTTGGGGCTGCTGGAGCGGGGGCGTGGGGGTGGGGACACAGAAGAACTAGGTTTAGAATTTCCTCTAACCTTTAATTAGGTTAACCGATACTATATACCATTTCAATAAAGTCTGCAGCACAAAATGGGGATTGTGAAGTACACCGGCGTATGCTTTGCAGGACTGAGGGGTGGGGAGAGACGCAAATGAAGAACTCCGCCTTGGCTTTGAACTCTGCCTTTTTACAGGAGAAAGGTTTCAGGAGTTCAAAGAAATTGGTGCAGCTCGTCTCCCACTCCTGAGTATAATCCAAACAGAAGGAAAGGGGAAATAATTTATGTTCAGGAAACACTAGGTCCTACAGTTGGGCCTGGTTGCTGGTTGGATGAGATCCCATGAGGAAATACCTCTATAGGCCAGACTGAGATGTTCAAAAATGTCCCTAAAAAAGGCAGTTCCTAAATCAGGCCATCCCGATGTCAAGAAAGCCATGAACTTGGTCAAGATGCTCTACCCCTCCAAGCCTCCAAATAGGCCAGGGGTGGGGAACCTTGGCTCTTTTATGACTGGTGGACTTCAACTCCCAGAATTCCTGAGCCAGCCATGCTGAGGAAAAGGGAGAGGTTTCCAAGCTGAGCCCTGCTGGCTCAGGAATTCTGGGAGTTGAAGTCCACCCATCTCCGAGTGGCCAAGGTTGAGAAATACAGGCCTAGGCCAGGGCTAGGCAACCTTGGCTCTTTTATGACTTGTGGACTTCAACCCCCAGAATTCCTGAGCCAGCCATGCTGAGTGGAAAGGGAGAGGTTTCCAAGCTGAGTCATGCTGGCTCAGGAATTCTGGGAGTTGAAGTCCACGAGTCATAAAAGAGCCAAGGTTGCCTAGCCTTGAAATAGGCTAATGACCCCAACAGAGCAACAATCAAAACAAACAAACAAAAAACAACAACAACAAAAAAAAAAACAAGCAGGACATCATCCAAATCACAACATTGATCACAAGTGTCCCTCTGCAAAAGAGTAAGCAGCCACCAAGAAAAAGGAACTAAAGTTGCCAAAATGGTAAGAAACATCGTGGACTTTTTTTTTTTTTTAAAGATGTTCTGCAACTTTAATATGACCAATGAGCGAGGATTTGTGGACAGATTAACCTGATTTTTACAGGAGGGAATTTTAACGCAGGGCAGATGGTGAGGGGGCAAGTTCATATGGGAGAGCAAATCCTCTCCAAGATTTTCTTATCTGGTCAGCTTCTCTCTTACGCTCAGCACTACATAGCACAAAAACCATTTCGAAACATTTTTGGATTAGAAAATCTACATTTCTCGCTCTCCTCCCTTCGCATGTGGTCCAGAATGGAATCAACAGGTTCCCAATTTAGCTGAAGCCTTTCTATTTCTTGTGTTAAGTGTAAAAAAAAAAAAAGGGGGGGGACTGGAAAATACTAAAATGAGAGAAAGGTACGTATGTATATATGTACAGGATATCCTGGCTTAAGGACCTGTCGCTTAACAGCTGTTCTAAGCTACAAAGGACTCCCCTCCAGATTATTCCAATAGCCACCTGCTTCCCCCATGGGATTGCATTCTGGGTGTTTGGCCACCAACTTGCATTTATTGCCATATGCAGCATCTTGTGGTCACATGATCACAATTTTTGATGTTTGCCCATTTCTGGAGTTTGCTTCCAGTTTCTGGCAAAAAAACGGCCACTGGATAAAATGGATTTGTTTAATGATCACTGTTTGCTTAACAACTGCGGCGCTCACTTAACAACTGCCAAACAAAAGGTCATAAAATCGGGCATGGTCATGTGGTAACCCGCTCAACAACCACAACTTACAACCATAAATTTTGGGCTCAATTATGGTCATAAGTTGAGGACTACTTGTATGTTTTTATGATTCTGCGTGTAATCAATTTATACAGCCGCTCATCTCATCAATGCGACTCTGGGCAGTACCAACATAAACAGCATAAAGAGCATGGAAAAATACAATGGTCACTGAGAATAAACTAAAAAAAAAAATCCATCTCGACATCTCAAAGGCCTTCTGATCTTTTGAAAATGAATCTCCTATGCAATGCATTTTAGGTCTGCTTGGGATCTGTTTTTGGCCATGATCTAGTTTTTGGCCATGATTCCGAATAGACCTAACCCTAACCCTATATTCATTTTAATTGGCAATCGAATTTTCCCATTTAATTTACTGTGCTCCTTTCCTTAGAAAACCACTAAAAATCTATCCTTACCATTAGTTTTTGGCCAATATTCAAAATAGATCTAACCCTAGCCCTAACCCTAATCTAAGCGAAACCCTAGATCAGACATGTCAAACTTGTGACGTCACATGATGTCGCACAATGTATCGGGACGGTTTTGCCATTGCCGGCAATGGGATGAGCGCGGCTTCCGGATGATGCGTCCGGCCCGCGGGCTGGCAGTTTGACACCCCTGCCGTAGATTCATTTTAACCGTCAATGGTTTTTCCGCCCAGATCATTTACTGTGTGTCAGAATTTAGTCTGTATGAAAAGCTTTAACTGCTCCTTTCCTGAGAAAACCACTAAGAATCTATTTCTACCATTAGTTTTTGGCCATGATTCCAAATAGACCTAACCTTAATCCTAACCCCATATTCATTTTAATTGGCAATGGAATTTTCCCATTTAATTTAATGTGCTCCTTTTCTTAGAAAACGACTAAGAATCTATCCCCACCCCTATCCAGATTTCCCATAAGCAACTACTCAACCTAGCAAAGCAAAAGACCCATTCTGTTCTGATATCTGAGGGTAGATGCTACTGAGGTTTTCACCCAGAGGTGGCTGCCAAGTCAGAATGAGTAGTTTTTCAGAGGCAGTATATACAGGAAATGCACCGTCATCTTCTACATATGCAAAGACTGCAGCCATGTTAGATTATTTGCAGGATTGGCTACAACTACCTAGTATCTGTTTTGCTTTACCTGGCATTACTGTTTCCTGTCTGTTCTTCTGGCTTCTCAGGTGCTTGTTCAGGATTTCTCTCCTCTGGCTCGGAAACATCTGGGAACCGCTGATCTTCATTTTTTGGTAACTGGAACAGTGAAATAAACATTAAAGGGCAAGGGTTAATGGTCCCAAATGGGATGACTAGAAAAGCGTTGTGTTTCAAAACCATAATGACGTTACTATAACCATCTGGCAAAAAGTGATTTTGCTAACTCTTAAGATTAATGCCATTTTTATGAGAATTATAATGATTTAATCTAGCGCAGTGGTTCTCAACCTGTGGGTCGGGACCCCATTTGGGGTTGAACGACCATTTCACGGGGGGTCGCCAAACAACGCAGTCTGCCATTTTTTCCCCCCTTTTCCTTAGCTGTGCTACTCCCTTTTATTCTATTGGCTTTTGAAAGCCAGTAGGAATTGTCCAGGCTGTCTCTGCCCTGCTGAGCCCGCCAAAAGTCCCATTCTGCAAACGGTGCTGCACCAGTTGAGTAGTCCTCGACTTACGACCGGCTGAGTAGTCCTCGACTTACGACCGATTGGGAGTCGTGGCATTAAAAAGGTTGAGAACCACTGATCTAGCGAATGCTGGAGAATTCAGAGTAAGAAAAGAAAAAATGATATGAAGGGTATTTAAAAATATCATCATTCTTGTATTTCAGTGCATCCTTGTTAATTAATTTGTATCCTGTCTTTATTATTTTTATAAATAACTCAAGGTAGTGAATGTATCCAGCACACTTGCCCACAGCAACAACCCTGGCGGATGTCTTGGGCTGAGAGGGAGAAACTGGCCCAAAGTTATCTAGCTGGCTTTCTTGCCTAAAATGGGACTTGAACTCAACATCTGCTGCTTTCTAGCTTGATGCCTTAACCATTAGATCAAACTGGCTCTTATTGTTACTATATGATTTGTTTTCCTAACAGCCATCTAACTTCGAACAGACAAAAATGTGCAGAATATTTCTAAAACCATTAAAATAAAAAAAAACACTAATAGAAATGTATTAAAAAGTACCGAAATTATAACCCAGAGTCTTAACAAGTTACACCTTTATTCATGTCTAAGCATCATGTGGAAGGAAACAGTACCTGTGTAATAAAAGTAGGATTATGTTCATTGGCACAATCATTTTCTTTCAACCAAGGTGTGTCTTCTACATCATTCGGATGGCTTTGGTTCACATTGCTCATTTTAACGCCATATTCTACTTCCTTGGGATTGCATACAAAGTTTTCTTTCCTTGGGCTCTGCAGAAAGAAATTTGTTTTGTTTTTTTTAATTAATGAGACAAATGACACCACCGTTAAAATAGAAATGGTAGTTACAGAATAAACAACCAAGGGAAACGTGGATGCTATGTGACATTCCTTCAGTTCATGTCATTAAAAATATAAAACCACAACATGGGAGAGTTCAACAGTATCTCTGCCTGTGCATGAAACAAATACAACTTTTCTCAATACCTGGTTTAAAGAGTATTTAGATGCCCCTTAATTTTTATTCTGACAACTTGCATTATGAAATATTCTCCTGGCCTTTCAGAAATCAAAGAAGTAGAAAGGTGTAAATCAGGTGGAGAAAGATTGCTCCAAATTAACCTTCTCTAAAACGATAGCTTGCAGATGTTTTGAACTTTCAAGACTCATAAACCTCCCTCGCTGGGAGTTTCTGATTGGAAAGCTGAAATGTCATGCATGTTACACTTTCTGCTTCTTCTCAACACTAGAGTTTTCCTTGTCATTAATTGGAAATAAAACTCCACTAACTTTATTTAACACTGTCAGATAAACAACATTTTCAGGGTCGAACTATGGCAGTGATGGCGAATCTTTTAGAGACCAAGTGTCCAAAACCCGCCTTGCCCCTGCCCTGTCCCCACCTCTCCTGCCCGCAGGGCCACCTACTGCCTCCACGGCCCGCCACAGCAGATTGCCCAGGCGGCCCAGCAGTGTCATGGCGGCCATGCCCTCTGTCTGCACCCCGCAGCAACATCTGCATGCAATGGGGCGCGAGAGCGGAGTCTTGTCCTCGCTGCCTGGCTGCCATGTCCTTGGCTGCACTGCTCCGCACAGGCTGCGCCCTGGGCGACTCTCCGCTGGGGAGCTGCTAGTGAGGAGGGGGCCACGGGGGGTGGTGGGGCTAGGGCGACAGCATACGTGCCCACAGAGAGGGCTCTGAGTGCCGCCTCTGGCACTTGTGCCATAGGTTCGTCACCACTGAACTATGGGATTCTTGTTACTTTCTAAATTGGATTGTTTGCTCGCAGATGTTTCATTACCCAGCTGGGAAACTTCATCAATGCTCTGATGATATTACCTAGTTAGATATGTCTGCAAGCAAATAACCAGACTCATAGAGCGCCAAGAATTCCACAAACAACACTTCCTCTTACTGTAAGAAAATAAAGGTTAAAAACTCCACAAGGCTGAATGTTTTGGTGGCTTCATGGACATGTCCACGTTGTCTTCCCAACCATGACACAGAATTGGATTGTTGCTGCTCTTTTTCATTTTAGCTGAGATTGGCTGGGGGCCCTAGCCAAGCACAAACAAGGCCTTCAACTGCTCAGCTGCTTGAAATCCACCAAGATCAGATCAAATTCTATCTCCATGGTAGCACTTGGAAAGAACCTAAGTCCTTGAGATTATAATACCAACAGAACCTTGTTTTTGTCTGTGTTCCACTGAAAGACTCTGAATATGAGGGCCTTACCTGCAATAATTTAAAAGGATTTTCTCTGACGAGGGCTGGACTTTGTGAAGGGGACAGATCTGAAATGCCAATAATATTCAGCCCTTTCTTTTTCTCACGCAAACAGGCCTGTTGATGCCTTTTTATTCTTTCCATCTGTTCTTCCAATGTCATTCGTGGGCGAGTACTTTCTGCCAAGCATAATTGCTCCACTGCGCTTCTCGGCCTTTCCTTGAAAGGAAGAAAAGGGGTGATAATAAAAGTATTTCCTCAAAGGATACCTTTTTGCCACTGATGCCGCACCCTTCTGCAGCAAGGCTGTTTCAAATCCTACATAAACAATGAATCATCAAGAAACTCTCTGCATGCACATCATCTAGAATAACAGTGGGTGAATTTTCAGCCCTGTAATAATGCCCAAATGAGCTGGCCACCAATTGTCAGTTAGCCACAGAATGGGCTGCTCTGATAAAAGGCATAGCCCTGTAATTTTTCTCTGCTTGAATTTTCTCAACAGTTTATCAGTGGAGATTCTAATCCAGATGTCAAACTCAAGACCCACAGGCCAGCTTTGGCCCATGATTGTTTAAATCTGGCCCGCAAGCAGACTAGTAGGAGTCTGTTGTTTAAATCTGGCCCACAAGCAGACTAGTGATTGAGTATGTAGCGAGGAGGGGCTGAACTGAAGCAGCGGCAGAACCAGAGAAGCCTGGGGGAGAGTCAGCTGGAGCTGAGGTGTTGCTGGGGCTCTCCTGAGGCCCTGGGATGAGTGAGTGCGGCTCCAGCTGATCAGGGCTTCCGGCGGCCTTGGGGATGGCAGTCTTTGGGGGAAGAATCAGCTGGAGCTGTGGGACTGCTGGGGCTTGGAGGGGACCCCAGAATCAGCACACGCAGCTCCAGCTGATGAGTGCTGCGTGAAAAGGCCAGCCGGGCAGTGAGTGAACACATGGGGGAGGAGGATATAAAAGGAGGGCTTTTGGCGGGAAGGAGGAGGAGTGAGGGGGGAGAGAAGGCGATAGGGAGGAGAGGAGAGATGTCAGTGCGGCAAGCCTGAGGGAGAGAAGATAGAATAGGAGAGGCTTTTGTGGGAAAGCCTGAGGGAAAGAAGGGGATAATAGGGGAGGCTTCTGTGAGGCAAGCCTGAGGGAGAGAAGGGGATAGAATAGGAGAGGCTTTTGTGGGAAAGCCTGAGGGAAAGAAGGGGATAATAGGGGAGGCTTCTGTGAGGCAAGCCTGAGGGAGAGAAGGGGACAGCAACTGGCCCTTTTTTGGGCAGCCATAATGCTGATGCGGCCCTCAGTGAAATTGAGTTTGACTCCCCTGTCCTAATCAAAGGCTGCATTAGATGACTATGTTGTCAAATCCTGGGTGATGAAGCTAGATCCAGGAAACAGGAACCACAAAGAGGTTGCAATCGCTCCTCCGGTTCTCCAAAGTTATTCCTTCTATCCCTTACGGCCATATTGCTGCCATGTTACTGGCTGAAATGCCATACTGATGAGAGCATTAGAGGAAGCCAAGAATGCAATCTTATTTCTTTTAAATACCGTTCTTAGATCTATCTTCTTTGTTTTCCTTAAAGTCACGTAAGAAGCGATTGTTGAAGATTCTGGGGTTGGTGACTTTGTTCTGGGTGGCACAACTCCAATGGGAAAATGTGACCCTATAAAACAAGAGAAAGGCATTTAAAGTATGCCACAATGTCAGAACTATGCTTCGTTCCAGTGAGAAGCATGTTAATCTTACACATTTCCAAATTTAATATAATAGGACTTAGCAAGGATTTTGCAATACAATCACCTTAGATTTCCTCAACCTGTCTTCCCCGTTCCATCTGCCCAATATAGAGGAATAGACTTTCAGAATGTCTAACTTGCCTTTACCACCATGGTTGGGACTTCTACTCTAGTACAGCAAGGCAATTTCTGATTTTAGAAGACTGTAAGGTGCAAAGAACTTGCACCATGCATTAAGTTCCAGTTAAGATAATTTATTGTTCAGGCCTATTCACAAGAATCCAGTCAATTAATGGGCAGCACTAAATTGGTGCTAGCTAAGAGTCAACGGAATTCAAGAGGAGTTGGACTTAGATGTTTGTGGGAATGTAATGACTCCAGGCTGATTACTCTCTTGATTCTGCCCCCAGATTCTGCCTGCTTTTCTCCTACAGGTTGCACTGTACTCAAATAAGATATATTAGACTGAAATCAGAGAAATATAGAATAAAACTGGAACTAATCAAGATGCAAGGTTTCTGGGCCAATTGACCCTCAGTGTGTTATGACAAATGGTAGGTATTACCATTTTGGGATACATATAGTACATAATATTTTGATAAATAGTCCTCATTTAGCACCCACATCTGGCTGTTTAAAAACTAGGTACAGGTCCTTTTTTATGAACACCATCTTCTGCAATTTTTATGAGATGCATTTTATCAATGAGAGCCATCTACATCTATATCCAGTTGGATGTGGGCCTAAGCCACTTAGAAAAACAGCACAATTCTTTGGATCCCAATCAGTCTTAAAATAAAGCCTACCAGTTATTCAGTCAAACACCTTGCCTTAACAGAAAAAATATGCTGTAACCGTACAACAGTTTTCACTAGCGATGGTTTTGCTTTTTTTTTTTCCATCTCTAAAGTAAAGAAACAAACCAACACGGTGCCGAGACTAAACATCCCCACTTTCACTTTCTTCCTACATTCACAATTTTGCAAGCAACTCTCTCTGAAAGGAAATTCTATTATTGCTTATGTAAACGTGAAAACTGTTTTGCCAAGAGACCTGGGCTACTGAAATTACACTGTTCAAACTGTTTCCAGCTAATTCATTCCACTTATGCCAGGGGTTCTCAACCTTGGCAACTTTAAGACTTGTGGACTTCAATTCCCAGAATTCCTCAGCCAGCTTTGAAGTTGAAGTCCACAAGTCTTAAAGTTGCCAAGGTTGAGAACCCCTGACTTATGCAAACAGCAAGCATAAACTGGTCTTCAGAGACCATTGGCAAGGCAATAGTGAAGTCCCAGTTTTAGAGGCCTTTAAATACAGTGAAATGTTTTCTCCTCACTAATGTCAACAATTTCTTTTAAAGTTTATAGATCTGCATTTTAGAAATTAATTGGTGTGCTTGCTACAAGAGAGTGCCATTGTGCTAAAGTTGGCAGGCAAGGGAAATGCAAAGGAACTCTCATTAAAAAAAAAAAAAGAAGATTGCCTAGCACAATCACAATGCTTCAAAGAAGAAGAAAATGCCATTTTTGGCACTATGTCCAGACAGAATTACATTATTACCCAACAAGACTGAAACTTTATTTCGGTCATTGACCAACAACAACAAAAAAATCATTCAGTAAAACAAATAAAGCAAAGATAATCATTAACATCAATGACTACTGGAACCATGTGTGGATTAAGCTTACCTATAATGCAGCAAAATTGGTTATATAACAAATAATGCACATAGCAATTATCTGATTAAAAAGGATAATTAGTTAGTGGCGAATGTCCCTGTAGAACTGGCAGTATAAAAGAACATGTGGTTTCTATAGCACCCGTGTCACAGGGTAGTGTCATGTTTCATAAGGGGTTTTCCCCTATATTTCCTTTCCAAAACAGTTGTGGGGAGGAGATTGGTTATTACTTTTAAAGCCCTTCATGGTATGAGACCAGGTTATCTAAGAGTCAACTTGCCCCAATGGTCTGGCAGAAGGAGCATGGCGTGGACCCCATCAGTCAAAGAGTTTTGGCTGCCAGGGTCTAGAAGCAGAGCCTTTTTTGCTGTGGCCCCCATCTCTGGAATATCTCCCCACCTGAAGTGAAGTTTGCTTCCACCCTTTGGGCCTTCAGGATCGGCTCTGCCAGTTATTCCGAGCTCTGCCAGTTTAGCCCTGATGGGGTTCCTCAACACTGGAGGTGGTTGGTGAATTAATTGAGAAGTGCGCTGTGCTGATCTTGCCTTTTTTTTGCCTTTAATGTATGTGATATTTTCTACATTCATATTAATTTTAAGCTGTCCAGAGTTGCTTTTCCAAGTGAGATGGGTGGCATATAAATTTAATGAACAAACAAATAAAATCAAGCTATAGATAAAGGTCTCCTGAATTTGGGAACTGTGATATGATACAAACATGAAGCTACTACAGTGGGGTCCTTGGTGCTCTCTGAGCTTGGTTGTTCTCTTGCAGATGTTTCATTACCCAACTAGGTAACGTCATCACTGCACTGATGATGTTACCTACTTGGCTAACGAAACATCTGCAAGAGAACAACCAAGCTCAGAGAGCAGCAATGATGCACACACACAGTTTTAGCCCTAAACTACCATATATGCCGACGTACAAGGCGACCCGGCGTATAAGACGACCCCTGTCTTTGGCGCCGAGTCGCATTCCTAGAACGTCGTCTTATACGCCGGAAACTACCAGTATTTCCGGTGTATAAGATGACTCGGTGTATAAGATGACCCCTGTCTTTGGCGCCGATTTTAACGCTTGTGGAAGTCGCCTTGTACGCCGGCATATACGGTACAAATATTTTATTGAAGCTGGCATAGGAACTAAAATTTGATTATTTACAAATAATATTGAGAGAAAAAAATAGCACTTTCTGTTTGGCCTTCTGTGTCTAAGACCTTTTGCCTTAATATTGATCTAGCTTGTTCTAGACCAGTGGTTCTCAACCTTTCTAATGCCGCGACCCCATAATACAGTTCCCCATGTTGTGGTGACCCCCAACCACTTATACATCACCGGGTGCCAGGGGCGTGGCCAAAGGGGGAAAAATGGCGGACAGCCTTGTTTGGCGACCCCCGTGAAATGGTCGTTCGACCCCAAATGGGGTCCCGACCCACAGGTTGAGAACCACTGTTCTAGACCCAAAGTTAAGATGGCATGACTGGAAAAGCCATAGTGGATTAGTTTCTTTTGGATATCTGTTTCTCAGGACAACTTGAAGCTGTCTGCCAATCTTAGATAGGTCAGTCCACCAGGATTGTGGTGCAGTTTTAGCCCGTAGAAAAAGATATTTAACTAGAAATTGGATTCAAATTTACTGACTCCTGCTTCCTGTCAAAGTATTGCGTTTGGAGAGGCAGCGGGTAACCTGAAACTTGCTTCTCAAAAATTTTGCTGGAATTCTTTTTAAGGTAATCATGCTGTTATATGATCCTAATTGAACCCTGTGTAGCTGTTGTGCCCCAGCTTTAGCTGCAGACAAGCTAATTGCAGCAGGGATAAACTTTGCTACGCTGGCAAAATAATAAATTTGAATAGCTGAAGTTGCTCTCTGGGCCTTAGGAGAACATAATTAAGATGGGCATCCTGAAACTTGAAAAGCTAACCCCAAATATTTAAAGTTTTTAACTTGCTCAATGGATTACCCACCTAAATTCCAATTTTAAACATTTGGAGAAGGTGAGAATTTATTATTAATTCCCCCTCAATACAATAATCTATAAGGTTCTTTTAAGGCCAAAGGAAGACAGAATGCCTGTGTCATCAGCATATGCTAGAAAATTGATAGATCTATGGTCTAATTTGGGAGGTTAAAAAGTAGAGGTATTTAAGTGAAAAACCAATGAATTTATATAATTATTAAAATGAGGTCAATATAGAATACATACACTGGTGGGATTCAGCCAGTTCCCACCACTTTGCAGAATCGGGAGCTAATTTTTTGTTGCCCATGCCCAGAATGGACTTCCAGAAGTGGCATCCACACAGAGAACCGGGTTGTTCACATATTTGAATCCCACCACTGAATACATAACTTTTTAACTCTCCCACCTGTCTACCCCTCCCCCCCATTTCGTTAGAGATATATCCTTGGTTAATCACCTGACTTTCAACCTTGTGGTACTCACAAATTTTAATGAGCAGCAGAAGCTGATGTTTACCTATTGTAGTGTATTTAAATTTACACTATAGTTTAGATCTTGATACTGTCTTGAAAGCTGACCTAAAATCAATACATGCTGCATACAGGAATTATCCAGATTTGTGAGTATACTTTTCTCCTAGGTCAGGGATAAGCAACCTTGGCTCTTTTGTGACTCGAGGACTTCAACTCCCAGAATTCCTGACCCAGCTGGCTCAGGAATTCTGGGAGTTGAAGTCCACGAGTCACAAAAGAGCCAAGGTTGCCTACCCCTGTCTTAGGTGTTGCAGCATAGTCTAACACTACACTGGTTGTAGGTGTGAAAGCCAGCCATAAGTCCCTTTTTTCAGTGCCTCTGTAATTTCCAAAGATCACTAAATGAATGGCTGTAAGTTGAGGACTACCTATATAGGGCTATAAAAATTATTTGAGAAAGACGGGGCTACCCATGTTCAGAAGATTTTTTTTTCACACAGCAGCACTATTACTTTGTATTTTTTTTTTTTAAAAAAGAGGCACTTTTCATATTGTTCATCAAGCAAGCAAGCTGGCATTATACAGTAAAATGTACCTGCAAAAATTATAGCAATTCATCATTTGCCGTCTATACCGGTTTTCTCATAGCCATAACAGTTTCAGAGTTTTGTTACAAAGGAGAAGCAAAAATATACTAATCCTCACAGCATCAGTGGTCTTAACATTTTCTCCAGGCTTTGCTCTCCGTAATAATATATAGTGACCAAGATCGAAAGTCAGGGAACTTAACTAAGTCATTCCATATACCACTTGGAAGTACTGTGCTAATTTACCCCAAATTAGTGATTTGGAAATGGCTATTTCTTGGAATAAGTAAAATAATAGTGCAAAATCTATGAAAATCCCACTTCTGGCATCACACCAGGAGTCGCGAACTAAAGGCCTTCCAAATACTGCTAAATTACATGTTATAGCTCAGCTGTTTCTAGATGGTTGTAAGTTCTCCATCTGTTAACAACAGGACTTAAAGATCTTAATATGCAACCACGAGCTATTTACATAGAAACAACCCACAAAGAGCAATTTCAGATCAGGCTCAGATCTCTCCTCCCGCTGTTTCGAAGTGCAGATAGATAAGCATTTAAAGACGAATCCTTAAAATAGACTTGATTCCATTTTTCCTCTACACGCCCTATCCGGAGTAAATGTACTATGTATACAGATGCATTATGTGTGTTATTATAATGATGTTTTATGTATACAAATGCAAATATTAAACTATTACAGGTAGTCCTCAACTTCTGACCCCAATTGTGTCCAACATTTCCATTGCTAAGCATGGTAGCTGTTAAGTGAGCTTTGCCCCATTTTACGACCTTTTTTGCCACAGTTGTTAACTGAATCACTGCAAGTGTTAAGTGAATCATTATAAACCTAGCTCCCCTCCACTGCTTGTCGAAAGGGGGCTGGGAAGGTTAGAAATGGTGGTTACATGATTCCCCCCAGACAGGGCAGCAACTGTCATAAATACAAGTCAGTTGTTAAGGGTCCGAATTTTGATCACATGACGATGTGGATTCTGCACTAGTAATAAGTGTGAAAACTGGTCATCAGTTATTTCTTTTCACTGCAGTTGCAATTTGAACAATCACTAAACAAATGGATGCAAAACGAGGACTACCTGTACTAGCAACTGCCTCAATAAAAGACAATTTTACCAATCAGGAAGATGTAGACATGCCTAGTTTTCTTATTTTATTATTATTATTATTATTTAACTGCTACGGCTTAGTTCCTTAACTTAAAAAATGTGACGGGGTAAAATAATTTTTCAGGCTATTTTGCTCTTCACTCACTCTTGGATATTGATGTTTTTTTCACTATGGGGAAGACTGCTGTAGTCTCGAAATAAATATTAAGCAATTAATGTTGATTATCTTCCAAATCTCCAGGACAAAGCACCGATAAAATGCACGGGCCTAATTAGTTGATCAATAGTGCTACGATGAATGCAAATGCACACACAAATTAACATTTCCCAGCTAAGGACACTTAAATCGCTCAAACTAAATGAAGATTTATACTGGGCCTTAAACTTAGCTCACTATTTTCTTTACTATTAATGGATGCCAGGACAATGATCTTATTGGGCTCATTTATGGTTTATTAGATGGTTGAAAAAGCTGTATGTATCTGTCCATATTTAAATAGAGAGCAGTAGTATTGGTTGCTTCAGAATATCACCCAAAAATATTAAAAGGACGTTTTTTTTAAACTAAACACCATCCCTTCTCTAAGTAAAACCATATTCAGTGTAATTCCTGCTCTGAGACAGCACATCGTAGCCTACATGTTCTTCAAGTACTTTCCCAATGTTTCCTTATATTCAGGTGAACCCTCCAAGGAGATGATGCAATTGCATCTAAGGCTATTTATTCCATTGCTGAGCTGTCATTATTATAATGGCATGGGGCCAGGTTACCTATGGAACCGTCTCTGTGTCATTACATCAGCCTGTCTCACCTGGTTAGGCAGAGAAGGTATATTGCAGGGCAGGGCCAAGGAAGGGAGTCTTCTCTGCCATTGCCCTGTGAACATTCTCCCCGCCCACCCCCCACCCCAGAGAGGAAGTGGGACCCCCTCTTCTGGCCTTCCAGAAAAGCATGAAAACATAGCTCTGCAGCTCCTGTTCCCTATGCCAGGGTCTCCAACCTTGGCAAGTTTACGATTTGTGGACTTCAACTCCCAGAATTCCTCGGCCGGCTATGCACACACTACATGGTAGCTGTGATGATAAAAGTAGCCCTCAACTTACAACCATTTGTTCAATGCCTATTTGAAGTTACAACTGCACTGAAAAAATGTGACTTATGACCATTTTTCACACTTATGACTTGTTGAAGCATCCCCATGGTCATGTGATCAAAATTCGAGTGCTTGGCAACTCACTCGTATTTATGACGATTGCAGTGTCCTGGGGTCACGTGATCCCCTTTTGTGATCTTCTGACAAACGAAGCCAATGGGGAAGCCAGATTCACTTAACAACCGTGCTACTAACTTAACTATCGTAGTAATTCATTTAACAAATGTGGCGAGAAGGGTTGTAAAATGGGGAAAACTCATTTAACAACTGTCTTGCTTAGCAATGGAAATTTTGGGCTCAGTTGTGGTCATAAGTCGAGGACTACCGGTATTACAAAACTAGGAATCAAAAAACCTGCAATCTCTATTTATTCTGTACCTAAATACAGATACCGGATACGATCTTTATTATCTTTAATTTTCCCTCTATCGTCTGAGTTATGCCTGACTCGATGCCTTCCAGTCACGTAATTAACTTTAACTTTGCATTCTCATTTTATAAGAAAACGTTACCCTGCTAATAAAGCTAATGGTGGCTACAGATTGCTCTATTGCCTGTAGATGGAAATGAAGCCATTTTAAAGCAAAGGTCTCATTAATACCTTTAGTCACAGAAGCTTCTGACTCAGAAACTGGGTCTGCTTTTTCTTCTCCATTCGATTCATCAACCTCTGTTACAGTTGTTAGTTCAGGTTCACTTTTATAAAGCCGATAATCAGGACCCTAGAAACAAACCAGAACACAAACATAGATTCATTCTCCAAAGGAATTTCCTGTCACGCATGACAAAATTTGTATCAAAATCTGAAGCTCTGCTTCAGAAAAAGTCAAATTGTTCTAATTTCCTATGGAATAATCCCTAAACATTTTTTTTTTCATTTTCATTTTTTGAGCCTTTTCCTTGCCTTATCATTTAAAAAGTCTCTAAAACTCTGTTCTCTCTCCAATTTCTTTTCTGTTCAAATATAAATCATATACTCCCTCTGGCAGGGAGTTTTCTGTCATGATTTTATTTTTTTTTAACTTTGGAAAACCCCATCTGCATGACTGGTTTTGAATAAATGGCAATAAAAACACATGCCAATAAAAAATGGCAAGTTTCAACACTTACTGTATACTCAATAGAACAGAGCAAAAATCTTGTTCTAACAGTGTGAAATGACAAGTCTTTTTTTTTTTTTGAACCTAACACAAACTTGCAACCAATCTGAGTCAAGCGAGGCATTTATATTCACAATACATGGGGGGGGGGAAACCCCCACCCCAAAACAAAAATCAGAAATGGCAAACATGGATAATGTCCTTGAAAAAAAATGAAACAAAAAGACGAAGCTGAGAAAGGGAAAGCAACATAAAATCAGTGGAATGTCAATCGAATAAAATGGCAACTGTGCGGGAGAGGAGACGGGAAGGGTACATAATGGTGGACAATGTGGCAATGGGGGCCACTTACAGAGTGAGCTCCATTTCTTTGGTAGCCTTGAACTTGATGAATCTTCCTGTCTTCAGGCAGATGGACGGGGCCCCTGCTATAACAGAGCAAGGAGCTGCTATCACTGGGCAGAGGGGGGATTATGGGAAGCTGCTCTGCAAAGTCATAGGACCGAGGGAGTGGAGGACGAGGTGGGACTACTTCCTCTTCCTAAAGATTGCAGAACAGGTCACCTGATTTAGATGTGCTCATCTCTCACAAGGGTTACACAACTACGTTCAAATATTTCACAGCAGTTACAAGACAATTTGGAATTAAGAGGGAAGCTGCTGTCGCACAAAGGATAGACTGGAAAAATCTCAATGACGTCAGTTAGGTACACAAAGGTGTACACAACTCTTCTTTTCTTTCCATAACACACCTGGGTACCGTTTAAAAATATGCGTTAGTTCCCCCACCAACCTCAAGCAAATGAAAAAACTTTATCTAGGACAAAAATACAGGTAGTCCTCGACTTAAAAACAGTTTGTTTAGTCAGTGACTGTTCAAAGTTACAACAGCACTGACAGATTTTCACACTTACGACCGTTGCAGCGTCCCCAGGGTCACGTGAACAAAATTCAGATGCTTGGCAACTGACTCATATTTATGAGGGTTGCTGTGTCCCGGGGTCACGGGATCCCTTTTTGTGACCTTCTGACAAGCAAAGTGCATGAGGAAGCCAGATTCCCTTAAAAACCATGCTCCTAACTCAGTGGTGGAGAAGCTATGGCACGGGTGCCAGAGGCGGCACTCAGAGCCCTCTCTCTGGGCACATGCGCCGTCGCCCCAGTCCTAGGCCTTCAGCTGGGTTTTATAAAACCTTTTTGCTTTAGGCCTCCGCCGCCGTGTGCAAAAAAAAAAAAAAAAGGTTCAATCAATCAGTCAATTTCAACTTCTCATGGAAAAAAAAGATCTTGCAAAGTTGGAATTGATTGATTAAACTCTGCCGTTACCACCGCAGTTACACCCGCCCAATGGGCCACACCCCCCAATTGGCCACACCCAGCCAATGGGCCACACCCACCCGGCACCCAACGATGCATAAGTGGGTTGCAGTTTGGGTGCTTGGTCTCTAAAAGGTTCGTCATCACTGTCCTAACTGCCATGATTCACTTAACAAATGTGGTAAGAAAGGTTGTAAAATGGGGCAAAATTCACATAACAAATATCTCACTTAGGAACATAAATTTGGGGCTCAGTTGTGCTTGAAAGTTGAGGACTACCTGCAGCTCTTTACATAAAGGATTATTCTTTTTCCTCTCCTATGAATTTATTTACATTTTTTGCTTCATTTTATGCATTGATATATCCCTATGCATATCAATGTTTAAATGTAGCTTTATTCACCAGGTGTGAATAAATTCACCAAGGAATCATGAAATATTTCCCATTTAATTTGTCCAGTTTTTTAAATACTTTGATACCAATGTAGTTGACAATGTCCTTTTAAAGCGACTGTGTCTTGATATTCCACTCATACTAGCGATAACAATCGCATTCAGCTTTGTACATTTAATTAAACTATTGTTTCAAGTGCTAATTATATGAGGCTGCAGATACACACACATATTTTTGTATGATGTGTGTGTGATGAGGGACCAAAAAAAATCAATATTCAAATGTATATACAGAATAAGTATAATCTGAATGCTTAGCCTTTAAATGCACCCCACCTATAAATATCTTATTGAAACATGAACTATACTCATAAGTGGAGAAACAGGAAATTGGAAATTAAATAGCTTCTGTGGAATCTTAAAAAAAGTAGAAAAAGAAAAACATACCTCATTTTTATACTTTGGTGAAAAGGTCTTTGATGCTATGATACCTATTTAAAAATAAAGCAGAATGTTTAGCTTATCATAAATAATAGTTAAAAATTATGGTTGCAGTAGCACAGATTTGCAGTGATTTAGAGTTTCTATTATTTTCTTTTCAGTCTTGGGAAGTAAAATTGCATTTAATCAAACAAGAATAAGAACAGCATTTATTCATTGTTCAGGCTTCTCTGCTAGTCCCATAGATCTGCCGGAAGTCAATATGCTAATTTACCTGCCTCCGTGGTGCTGTTTCTTTGCTGCTTATGTTTACTCAAACCTTCCATTACATCCTGAATTCGCCAAAGCTCTTTTTGGATCTGAGCACGCTGTATTCCAGCCGATTCACTCTGCCAGAGATAAAAGTTAGCGATGAGGCACCATGCTTTTAATGCATCCAATTATTTTCAACTAGTATCATGCACCCTTTTATGTTCCGTTCTGAATCTACTGATATTTTCCTGGACCTAATCAAAAGGCTATTTCCTGGCTTCTTTCAAGATAACCAAACTCTCAAGATAGTTACTGCTGCAATAGTTGGCACATGTAATTATGGAATAGCAAGTTCTGCCCAGTTGAAATTGTGCACAACATATGAGATGTGCACAGCAAAGGTAATGGTAGTAATGCAGCTCAGATTAAATGATCCAGAGCTCTGTTGTCCAGTGGGACTCTGGATAAGTAATCAAAGAAGGAGGGAAAGAAACAGGTCCAGCCTTAAAACCTGAGTTGACAAGAGCATTCTCTGGCCCTCAAACCTTACCCAGCTGGATCTTCTAAAAAACATGTTTTATTAGTGGTAAGTATTATGGGCTCAAGAATGATTCTATCCCTGGTTTTTAAAGACTTCTGGATCATCATCAGGGTGGGAGCCAAATGGATCATATACCGATACCGTTCGCTAAATTTCTCTGTAACGCTACCCTTGTGAACCATTGGTCCTTCCACTATGTTCATACAATGCTTCGTATGTTTAAAACTTTCCCATTTTCTCTCTTTTTTTCAGAATCACATCAACTCCATCTAGTCTTCCCCTTCCTGCCGATTGATTCTCTCTTCCTCCCTTTGTTCTTCTGCAAGCTGATCTCCATTCCTTCAAGATGTAATGGGTATGTGGGAATGACTTTGGGAGACCAAGGGAAGAGATGCTGACCAGGGACTTGCAAGGTTCTGTTAACCTAACTTTACAATAAATTAGAATTAGTCTCGTCTACCAGGTAAGGCTGACATCAGTCTTGCAAGTCTGAAAGTACAATTTTCCCGCTGTCACCATTACAGGGCCTTTCCTGAGCCTCTTGCTCTACCCATTATGCAGCTGTAGGCTCTGCTCCCTCTTATCTGACAATTCCTAATTGGTGTCTCTTTTCTGCCCAGGTCATTCCCATATACTCTTACACAATAGGGTTGAATTACTTCAATGTCCTTTTGTTCGTTTTTTTTTTGCACTCAGTCCACATTCATTCGGCACCCATTCATTCTTGTTTACACCTCTTCTAGTTCTATCACATATACTTCTCAAGTGCCTTATTTGCACAACATTCAATCTTTATGTTTCTATGGACCGATTACAAAGCAGGCAGGATGCTCTTACGGAAGCCACTTTCACATTTTTTTTAAAGGCATTCCTCACAACAGATTGCCTGCCATTCATTACCAGTTATTTCTACTTCTTAAAATTTCCCCATCTTTAATAGCGCTATGTACAAGGTTTTAAATGACCCCCCCAGCCGCCTTGGTGGTAGAAGGTGGTGTGGTGGAATTTCTCTTTTTAATAGTGTACATTCTATGTGGTATTTTCGGCGACACTGACCATCAGGAGGCACCCCATGATTGGTTTTGTCCTTATTAGGATTATTCAGACGGGGATAACTGGGTATTTACCCGATGGGATTCAAACTCTTTGCCATTATCCACATTTACTGACCATCCAGCAGTTTGATAAGTCATGTAAAATCCCATAAATGGGGCATGATATAATAAGTTAATACCTGTTATCTCTCTTCTGTGGGAATTAAAGCAAAAGAGTCTGATAGCTCCTGCTAAGCTGCTAAAAAGCTCCTGGATACTCCTAAACCCAATGCACTCTATGCAGACACCTAAAGTGTGAAGGTCTGCAAGTTAAATTTTCAGGTAGGTGTTTGAATCCCAAAGGAGAACATCTAGCTACCTACAACTTAAGACAGAGGTCCCCAACCTTTTGGACACCAGGGACTGGTTCTGTGGAGAGGGATTTTTCCGTGGACCAGAGGGGGCATGATTCTGTGTGTTGCCTGCATCCCATGGATGGGGCTTTGCTTATTTGTGTGGACTGGTTGCTGGCATGCCGCAGCCCAGTACCGTTCCATGGACCAGGGGTTGGGGACCCTTGCCTTAAGAATTCCAATCTGGACAAAACATGTCCTGCAGTGCCCATTACTGATCAAAAACTGAATATACACTGCAAAAATAGAGAACCTGACCTTAATAAATATTGACCAAGATAAATACATAATCATCTTGCTCTAGTTTTTCACCATTTATATATAACTTGCAATCTTTCTACCATTTTCCCTCTGAATCCAATTATTATGGTCTCTGAAAAAGAATAAATTTATAAATCAATAGTCCTCATTGCACCATACTGTTCGATATAAGCTGCAAATCATTATGATCTCAGCCAACAAGACAGTTATAGCCTGTTTACAATTCTCAATCAATATGCCTTACTGTCATCGCAAATTTTATTCATTTAGCCATTAAACTAAAGGGACATCCCAGCTCTGTCTTGAAATATTTTTAAAAATTCTAATTATTCTCATGCATGTTTTACTTACACCACGTGCTGCTGATTAACTCAGCAACCAACCTTTAACTTCATTCTTGTGCAAAACATTCCACAATTCAAGCCTATTCACTTTAATTACAGACATTTTCTAAACCAATGAATGTACAATAAGCATTCTTTCTCAAACTCAGATATTTCTCAATAAAAGCAAAGATGAGGTTTACAAACTCCCTACCTAGCATAAAGCAATATCTAGAAATTACCAAATGTTATTCTTTGTCACTACCTCTACCCTTTCAATCAAGTATTCTTGCCAAATGCTTAATAAAATAATTCCCCAACAGGTTTTTCATTCACTCTTGTTCTTTTTTCTTTTATAGAGGAACAATGACAGCTTCTTTCCAAGCAAACATGCACATGTTTTTCCATCTCTTCAATTTTACTATTATTTCAGCCATATCATTTTTTCAACTTTTCATGCCATTTATAATTTCCTTTTCATTCTTTCTTTAATGTTATTGTCCATAGTATTAATTTCAATTATACTCTTCAATATATTATCGTTCTGACACAAATCTCTACAACATCCCTTTCAGAATTCCCTCATGTCATTTTCATCCTGTATCATTCAACCTCTTTTATTTTTAATTCCATTCACTCAGAGCTTTTCTAATTAATCCTTCTACTGTTTTTTTTTCCAAAACAACACTCTGTTTAAATAGTCATCTTTTCTATAATCCGTTAGGTTGTAGAAAACACCTAGCATATACTTGCTAAGTCCAAAATAGTATTTGTGATTTACATAATTAGTATTTTCTCATGGTGATTCTGGGTGGCTTACAGAAATAAAACCCCAATGGAAAACCCATTAACATCCCGCCCCCTGCTAACATTGGAATAACAACAACAATAATAATAAAGTTGGAAGGGACCTGATCCATATCATCCCGGGGTCTCCAGACCTGCTGGCAAAACCATGGCTTCAGGGCCTTTTGAAAGAGTGTCACAGTGGGGGGGGGGGCAATCTTATGTCCACAGGGATGATGCTACCACAGAGAAGGCCCTTCTTCTTGTCCCCACCAGGTGGATCTCCTTAGGAGAGGGGATTTGTTAACATCCGTTGTCTCCCTGCTCTGAGGAGATTTGACTGGGAGAAGATGGTGCTTCAAATAACCTGTTCCCAGGCCATGTAGGGAGCTACCGATCATAAAAACCCATACCCAAAAAATGCTATGGAACCAAGTTGATATTCTGGTCGCACCTGAACCTCGCCTGTCCGCTCCAGCTGCTCCTGCATGTGGTTCTTCGTGATTGTTACATCATATTCTAGTTTGTCGTATTCTCTCCAAGCTCTCTCGAGTTCCTGAAAACAAATGTACATACATATATAAAATATATTTGGGTGACTTGCCACAAAGATGCCTACATACTTTACAAATCCAAGGACCGTACTCTGTTAAGAAGTAATGCAACATCTGGTTTATTGACATTCAGTTAACACTGACAATTAGATCACGTTCCATTGCTAGAAATTTTGTCACTAGGATCTAAAATAGGAAAGTTGAAAGCCATATTTAAGTGGCATGTGGGCCACATTTTAGGTGGAAGATCATCTGAAAATAATTCTTTCCCTTGCTCAGATTTACTAACGTGCATCCATGTTGGCATTTCAGCTGCCTGGCTAATTGAGCAAGACCTTGGCCTTTCCAGGGACATGTCAAGGTCCAGAGGGAGCCTCACCCCCACCACCCAGGCCCTTACCTTACAAAACCAAATACTGTGACAAAGTGAGGGTGGGTGGGTACATAGGAGAAAAGGAGATAAGCAGACAGCGCAAACACTGAGCAGACAGGGAAGCAGGAGGCAACATCTGGAGACTGATAGCTATTCCATGAAGGCAAGAGAACTATCAATCAACTGCCAGGACCACAAACTAGACCACCAACACAAGCAGCACATCGTGGTGGTATTTCTAGTGGGAGCCTGGCTTTGGAGCTCAGCTGGAGTGTTCGAGAGCTTGGAGGTTGACTTGACCCAGAATAGAAACAACCTCATTGAGGTAGCACCTCCTTCTAACTAGTGCCAGAACTTTTGAAAGGGAGCAAAGATTGTATGTTACTTTAAAGATTTTAAAACTTTTGTTTGGATTGAGTATTAAAGAACACAGCATTGAAGACAATGTCAACTTTCAAGGCCTAGAAGGGTGAAGTTAACCTAGAGCAATTGTCTGTTGTTGGGGAAGGTGTGTGTGGCAACCAAGTAGCGTACACAGAGGTGTTACACTGTGAGGTGTCCAGTCCTTACAAAGCAAAGAAGCCTCACAAAATAGATCAATACTTTCAAAATGGTAAACAATAATGAGAGCAAGCTAAGTGGCTTTGAGCCAGTCATTCTCCCTCAGCCCAACCCACCTCACAGGGTTGTTTGTTGTTGTGGGGAAAATAGGAGGAGGAAGGTGTATTGGATATGTTCAGTGCCTTGAGTCAGTTGTAAAAGTAATAAAAGTGGGACACAAATAAATAATAAATAAATAATTTAATATACATTTCATTGGAAGAAATATGAGAAGGGCCCGCCATCTTTTGAAATGGCTGACAACTCGACTCTTCAAGGGGAAATAAGTCTGCCCAGTTTCCTTTATTTATTAGGAACTAATTTTTTTTATATTATTTATTGTAAATGGTAAAATACGAAACAGAAAAACAAACAAAACTAGTATTTTAATTTGAAAAAGGAACTGGAAGATCTTGCAGTACCACTGATGAAGAGGGAAGCCCTCTGTTGACTTTCTCTATTGTCACCGGCTCTGTTTCTTGGATTTACTGGGTTGTATTTAGTATCAGTTTAGTGAATTCATGGAAGGAGATCCAACAGAATAGTTGGTGCAAGCTTCTTTTGCTCAATTCTGACCCTTCCATTAGTTGCCATGACTAATGATTGCCTGCTTGTTCTTTAGTATGGCATAAGTCTTAAAAGAGATTTTAATGTGGATAGTTCTTCTAAAAGTGTCCTGTCACTTGCTGCTTGGATACAGTTCATTTGTCAGTGGATTTATAGCTATATTAGTTAGAACCACTGACCTGGGGCTGACGTCTGGTGACCATATGGACAAATCCTGACTTGTCCCTATAGATGACAATCTATAGCAATTCCAGGTGCATTACAATAATATTTCTAATCCAATCCATTCTCCTGTAATCATTGTGTTGACTCATCTTCTCCTCTCAATTTTGCAATGTATTTAGTTGTATTTTCCTAGTGCAACCCCAGCATGTTATTATGTGCACAAATAATAAGCTTCTACTTCCTTGTTAATTGTTGCCTTAAAGGCTTGTTCTGGATTGCCTTATTTGGTTCTTCCTGAACTCCATTATACTCTTAGTACCCACTTCCAAATCAATCATTTAAAGACAATAATTATCCTTTGTTTTTCTCAAATGTCCATCATTCATAGTATTTATTATCTTTGGGAAAAGCACTGCTTTAACTATTCTGATCTTTGTGTGCCGAAGTATGCATAAGTCATAAACTCGTCTATGTTTATCACTGTCTTCTTGAATAAGATTAATCTGCTGTTTACTTCTCCTACATGTGGTACCTCTTTTTCTATTCTAGAGTTTAAGAAGATAAAAGTGTCTACCATTCTCATTTCTTGGCAATCATTGTGAATTTACAAGTGAGGTTACTTTCAACTTGAAATTTTAGATTAACCCAGACTTTCCATTTTCCTGTTTTACTCTCCTAATGAGTATTTCTGCAACTAGTAATGTGCATAAGTTGGAACTGAATGTTTTGGAGAACTCTGAAATCTTGTTTTCCTCTCTGAACTCTCGCCAAATTTCGTCCAAATGATGCCATTCTTCAGTCTCTGGATGTAAGTTGCCACTTTCGCTTGGTGAATATAATTTCAAAAACTGGTCTGGAGAAGATTCAGCATGAACTGGGAGGGGGGGAAGGAAGAGGAGAGAGATGGGAACAAACATCCAATAGTTCTCCCGAACATTTTGCTCCAGAATCAACAAAACTTGTATATTTTACTTTCAAGGGACAAAAGGTGTCATCTGCGTATCTCTAATACTTTGTGTTTCATCCTGTGATTTTGTTTCCAGCTGCAATCTCTTCCAATGTTGTCATTTTTCTAAAACCTTTGCCAAGTAAGTTAATCATAAATGATGACAAAACACCTCATTGTTTCACTCCTTCTCCTACACTGAATCTTTGTTTCCCCAAATTCAGTTCTTACAGTAGCTTCTTGTTTATTTTGAACTTTGCTCAAAAGAATAATCATGTAGCTTGGCATGCCTATTAGCCTTAATGCATTCCACATTTTGGCTTGCTCTACCTGATCAAAGCCTTCCTTTAGACAATAAAGCAGAAGCAAACCTCCTTAAATTATTTTGCCCTCTTCATTATCCACGTTAGCTGCCTAACCTTAGGTTACCCTGCCTTTTTTGAAAATCGTCTTCAATGAAGCTTCTGTTTTCTCCTCTCTCCCCAAAACAGAGGTGATAGTACAAGGCTTTTGCAGTACGACTGTAACATATATTGTACTGTTACAAGATACTGTACGACTGTTACGGATACTGTACTACCAGTGCTAAATGGGGGCTAGTGCAAATGTTATTTTTTTATTTAGTGTATGGCAAAATGTTAAAAAGGACATCACAACTGCATTCTCAATGAACAAATATGAAATATATTTATAGAATAAATAAGTATTCCTTTTACAAACCCAAAGGTAGACTATTTATATTTATATAGTCAGTACATGATCTAAAGGTAGACTATTTATATTTATATAGTCAGTACATGATGAAATTTTGCCCTCAAAGGGCACTGTTTCACAATATGTCACACTATTGTCTGTTTTTTCACAATATGTCACACTATTGTCTGTTTTGGAGCACCACAGCTACATTTTGAGGAGAGCTTTCCCTATTTATGGAGGACACTAGTGCACTTGCCATGTTGCGTCCTAACCCTGTTGAGGATTGACAAGGTCTTACAAGGTAAATTGAATCCTTTGGTTTTAACTGTAACGCAGAGAACATGCAAAAGTAATACCAAAAGAAACATTTGTTCCTACATCAACACTACCATTTATTTGATATTTTTAAAAGTAAACCGCAGTTCTTTCAGAGGCATGAAGAAGAAGAGATGGTGAACTTAGGCTAGTCCAGCCAACTGTCAAGGATATTAATTGGGATTCCTGCACTGAATAGGGACTAAGACTCAGTGGCCTAAGAAGTCCCTTCTAACTCTATGATTCTATAGCTATAGGTAAGTCTGTATCTTCGAGATTAATTGAGTTGAGGTAGTAAATATGGATGTTTGAAACATTTTGAGTCTGGACCAAAAAGAAACATTCTGTGTCTGAAAGTGCTCCCCATCCTTCGTAGGACAAAAAAATCAGTAGTTTTAATTTCTTAATTTATGAATATTTGACACAGGTGAGCAGGGACACCGACATTTACTATTAATAAGCATTTCATATGTTTAATATATTGCCTGAAAAAAACCTGAGTATAATCTAAAGCCAGTGTTTCTCAACCTTGGCAACTTGAAGATGTGTGGACTTCAACTCCCGGAATTCCCCAACCAGCAATTCCAGACAATATTCTGGAAAAACAGCATTTAGATTTTTTTCACAATACCCTTTAGGTCAGGGGTCCCCAACCTCTGGGCCGTGGCCCGGTACTGGCTGGCGAGTGCGCGCATGTGTGGACACACCCTCCCCACTCATGCTACTGCCACCGTGTGGGTGCTAGTGGCCCCGTTTATGCATGCACGTGGGTGCTAGTGTCGCCGCCAGTGTCACGCAGGTGCCAGCGCCACCAGCACCACCATGAATGCGCGCAGTCTGCTTGCTTCCGTTGTGCGCATGCCCGTTTTGTGCATATGCATGTGTACATTTCCCTGCTCCTTCCTTTCCCTCCAGGCTGCCAATGCGGAAAGGTTGGGGAGCTCTGCTCCACGTATTCCACTAAGTGGAACAGACCTGTGTGCCACAGAGCTGTTTAAAATAGCTGGGACGTTTAATTACAGGTAGTCCTCCACTTACAACGACAATTGAGCTAAGTGAGACATTTGTTAAGTGAGCTTTGCCCCATCTTATGACCTTTCTTGCCACAGTTGTTAAGTGAATCATTGCAATTACTAAGTTAGTAATGTAGTTGTTAAGTGAATCTGGCTTCCCCACTGACTTTGCTTGCCAGAAGGTTCCAAAAGGTGATCACAGGACCCCAGGACACTGCAACCGGCATAAATATTAGTTAGTTGCCAAGTGTCTGAATTCTGATCACGTGATGTGGCAGCAGTTGCAAGTCCCTTTTTCAGTGCCATTGTAACTTCGGGCACTAAATGAGCTGTTGTAAGTTGAGGACTACAAAGTAAGTAGGGTAGTAGGCTGTGTTTAAGTCTAGGCATCTAAAAATAGGATGTCTAGCAGTAGACAGGAGTTTGATAAAAAGCAGCTTGGAGATAATTACACAAAAAAACAGTACAGATGGGAATGGCAAGGGATCAGGCTAGGGATCTGATTAATTTTGACTACAGAAACAACAAGCTGAAAGATTTGTGGTGATATATTTCCATGAAATAGCTTTTGAAATGACAACTTGAATAAATGTGCCAGCTTGATGACCTCAGGATAATTTAAAATAATTTGTCTGACAGGCAGTGTATATTTTACCAATTTTTTTTTTAGTTTTTTAAATAAAGACATCCCTTTATTCCATAGTAGCAAAATAATTTCCATCCAGACTTTCTAAACCTGCTATAGATTTGGCAAATCAAGACAAATCGGCATTTGCAAGCATGTAGTAAGAAAAAAACACATAGACACCTCTACAATAAGAGACATCACTTAACACACCAGCGAGTTTTACTAAGGAAAAATAATGGCATTTTCTTACCGCCGTAGCTCGAGATACTTCTCGACAAGTGCTAAGCAGGCCGTTCTGTAAATCATCCCTCTGTAAGATGACATTTTGTATGGCAGCTGGATTTTCTTCATTCATTTGTATCTCTTGGCTGGCTGATAGCAGAGCTTGCTCAAGTGTGTACTGTGGTAATAAAGAGAATAATTTTTTAATGTTCTGCATCATTGGACTGATTTTCTTTTTACTTCACTTATCAATGTTCTGATAATAAAGCGTGCAAAATAACATAAATCTGGAACAATAAATATAATTATCCTACTTTTTCCTTGTGCAGCTGCTGAAGCTTCTCTTCAAGGGCCTGTACCACTTTATCTTGTTCACATAACCGGCTAAGCTTAGCCTAGTGCAGAAGAAAAGTTGTTGATAATTCGTGGCACTAGCTGTTTTGAAATACTGATTATTGACACAATGACTCTATACACACATGTGCGTGCAAGGCCAGGGAAAATGTCCAACAGCAGATCTTCACTTTTCAATTCAAAATCATGCATTTGGCTGGAAACAAAACCTCAAACATCTTTATTAGTCCACTTAAATACCATACTTTGAACTACTGGTCTCTCTCTCTTTGTATGCCACTATAGGCACATGGAAATTAGATTCAAGTCAGGCATATAATGACCAATATAAGCCCATCAGAAAATCACGATAGATGTATAATGCATTTCTTCATAGAAAACTCGTCTACACAGGAATATATACATTTGAACTAAGAACTCATCAAAAGAATAAACCATGCCTTAAAGCAGTGATGGCGAACCTTTTAGAGACTGAGTGCCCAAACTGCAACCCAAAACCCACTTATTTATCGCCCGATGCCAGGTGGGCGTGGCCCACTGGGTTGGCGTGGCTGTGGTGGTCATGGCAGACTGGGTGGGTGTGGCCAAGATGGGTGTGGTCACCTTGATGTTGCTCGCGGGGAGGGACGGCTGGGCAGGGTTGGGGGAGATCCAGGGGGTCTCTGGCAGGTGGGGTGGTGGGCAGGAGGCTCGTCCTGCAGGGTGAGGTGAGGCAAGGCGAGGTAGGGCAGGGGTGCCATTGTCGCAGGGCAAGGTGAGGCAGGAGCCAGGGCGGCTGCTGCCTGACACCATCGGCCCCCATACATAGAAGCCAGCGAGCACGTGGGGCGCAACAGTGTCCACCAGCAGCCACAGCCTGCCGGCCCCTCGACTGGCACACTCTGGGGCTCCACAGCCCACCACCAGCAGTTCAGAGAAGCCACCTCTGAGCTGGATGGACAGCTGACAGCTGAGGGGCAATGCAGTGGGTTGTGCCTGGGAAAAGGAGAGCATGCGAGGCCAGGAGGGATGGGACGGGGAGGAGGGAAACCAGCTGTGCTGGGATGAATCTGGCCACGTAGGACCTCAGCGAGTTAGCGGGCAGTTGGTTGAAGAGGGATGGTTACCATCTCTGGAGCATGGCACGTGTGCCCATAGAGAGGGCTCTGAGTGCCGCCTCTGGCATGCGTGCCATAGGTTTGCCACCACTGCCCTAAAGCAATAAAATCAGTAAACCCTTATAATTCACTGATTTGTAATTGGCTAGAATAATTGCTGCTTTTTTAAAAAAAGGGAAGAGTCCTTTTGATGAGACACCACCCAACTTGGTTCCCATCCAACAGTAGAGGCTAGTGACTAAGATAGTATTGACCAATACAGACTATTGGCCACTTGAACTGCTTAGATTATAGGCAGTCCGCAATTTATGAGCATAACTGAACCTGGAGTTACGGCCATAAATCATGCTGGTTGTTAATTGGGCCGTCATGTGACCAACGCGATTGTACAACCTATTCTGTAGCTGTCATTAAGGGAATCTGCAGATGTTAAACCAACACACTGTCCGCAATGGAATTTTTTTTTTTTTTGCCAGACACAGGAAGTAAACACTGGTTTTCCTGCAAAAGGCATCGTAAATCGCGGCCATGGGAACATGGGATGCTGTAAATAGCTGTGAATGCAGGACAGCTGTCTAGTATCCAAAATGAGAACATGTGATCGCAAGGTGCAAGGTTTGTGAGGCAGCCAGCAGAACTTTGAATCCGGGTCATAAGTACTTTTTAATTTTTTTTGAGTACGTTGCAACTTTGAATGGTTGCTAAGCAACCGGCCATAAGTCAAGTGCTACCTTATTACGATGCTGTTCAGTATTGTCCTTGAAGACCATATTTTACGCAGGCAAGAATGCCAAAATAAAGCTGCTCTATTTAGGCACACTGGCTGAGGAATTCTGGGAGTTGAAGTCCACAAGTCATAAAAGGGCCAAGTTTGAAGACCCCTGTTTTAACAGTTACAGGTAGTCCTTGACTTACAACCACAACTGAGCCCAAAATCTCTGTTGCTAAGACAGTTGCTAAGTGAATTGCTGCAGCTGTTAAGTGAGTAACATGGTTGCAAAGTGAATCTAGATTCCCCCATTGACTTTGCTTGTCAGAAGATCGCAAAAGGGGATCACATGATCCCGGGACACTGCAATCGTCACAAATATGTCAGTTGCCAAAGGTCCAAATTTTGATCACGTGACCGTGGGGACGCTGCAATAGTCATTAAGCGTGAAAACTGGTCATAAGTCACATTTTCCTGTTGTAACTTTGAATGGCGACTAAACGAACGGTTGTAAGTCAAGGGCTACCTGTACTTCCGGATATAAACTGACACATCTTGTTGCTGTGACCTAAATGATCTACCTTAGGTACCTACAGAAAATATTGTACATTTTTCCTAATGATTCAAATGCACTTCAAGGGTATAACTCAACTCTGATACAAAAAGCTGGAAAGAGATATTAGATTATTCACTTGCGAACATACAACAGTTCTATTTAAAATAAAAGAAGAAGAAAAATCAATATTCAGAGAGCTAACAGTACTTACATCAATATCCAGTTCTTCTGATCTGTATTTGTACAGAGCAGCCCTACTATCATCTTGCGTCAGCTATAACAAGGAAAAACACCGCCATCAAACCACTTCACTAAAATCAAGCAAAACCATGCATTCCGAAGCGCACATTTGATTAAGCACTTAATATGCCTTAATCAACACACACTATGCAAATTCGTTCATAATGGATGCCAAATTTAGATTGTCAGAAAGGAGAACAGTTTTATTCTCGCTGGGAAGCTTCCCCACAGATGGAAATGGAACGGCATGTTATCTGCGAGCTTCAGATAAGATCATAAAATAATCTAAATTTGGTTTTGTTAGCCACTCAAATAAAACAAGAACCCCTACGAAGCAAATTAGGAGTACATAAATCAGTGATACCAGAATATGAAGCTCCATCCTGACTTTCTTTTACCTTTTCAGGAAAGCTCTGTAAGACTTACTTGAGATGTATAGAAGAAGTTATTTTCGGTTACATCTTACAACAATGAAAAACAGAAATACAATTTCCTGTGGTCCTGGTACTTTGGGTATATTTCATTAAGCTTTCTTTTAAAAAGGGCTTCTCGTACAACAACAATATGTATGAAAAGATTTCTCTGTCTTGAGAGGGGAGATACACCAGTGGTTCAAAATGTAAGACACTGGATGAATGTAGGAAGTATTGAGCAGATAAGCATTTAGAGAAGCGTTCACTGCTACACAGGGGCAAAATAGCCCATTCTAGATAAACAGTACAGACTGGGAATTTCTAAAAAACAAGCAGGAACATTGGTTACACGAGATTTCCCAGCCTAGTTTGACTATAAACCATTGTTCTGATACCTCTTTAGAATATAAACTTCTAAATGGAGTGGCAGCTAGCACAATCAACTGTGGTGTGAAAGAAATTGTCTATGCATTAGATTCAGTCTCACCTCTACATTTTAAGACTGCTGAATTAGCAAGGTTCTTTAAAAAAAATTCTATGGAATGCCATTTGCTGCAGCAAAATCCTTTGAGCAAATCCACACATTGTGCATTAATAAATGGACAGAGGCCCAGTACAGATGTAATGCCCTCATGTATTTGTGAGCACTTCCCCATTCCTTTCCACTCTTTAACCATGATCTTATTATGCTAGGTCTGAATCAGCAGTAAATTAATTTTATAATTAAAAGGAGTGTCAGAGTTTTAAACAAATTTGCAAGTCTGAGATAAAAGAAAAATGAGTTTGGGGCAAAAGTAGATGAATGGAGATACAATTTTATGGTCAGGAGAGTGGGAGAAGGGAAAAAAAAATGCCCCAAACACATATGCCTAATTGTTACATCTGTACTGAGGCCATCACAATAAACATTTTACCAAAGTGCTGAATCCTTTACAATATTACTTAAGTTATTAGTTCTCAAAATATCAATTACCCTCTTTATTTTCACATTCATGCACAGTATTTTTGTGTATGCAATTAGATTAGAAATCTAACCTCATTGTGTTTAAAACAATAAAACTAGAAAGACAAAGATGAGGCAAGGATTTAGCAATTCAAATATTTCAACCACAGAACAGATCCGCGGAAGGTTGTTTTTTTTTTTTAAAGAGTTTCATTTCAAGGCATCTATCCTCATGCAAATGCGCTTGGTGACAATCTGAGAAAATGAACTGTGTATTAAAGCCATATAAATAACTTTGCTTTGAAATGAACATTTAATGAAATGAGCACTGGAAGATGAAAAAGCCACAGCACCTTTAAATTCAGAAAGATTATATATTTTAATTTGGTATGATATTTAGTACCTTACTTTACAACCCACTTGAATATATTCTACACAATTCACCTTGATAGGAGAAAGAATTGAAGAATGGAAATATATATTTTTAATGATAAAACAGATATGCTCAAATATGGTTGATGTAAATCTGGCCAAGCTCTCAAAGAGAAAGATATGAATCTTTGGATGAAATATATGTTTTGTCTCCAGCTGTCATTTTTAATGAAGTTATAGACATTTCTGAAACTTAATTACCTATTTTTTTAAATCCTAAAACTGAAGCAAATGCACTGGTAATTGCCTAAACGTCTTGGAACAATATAATCCATCTAATTAACACCCTGTGTATCTGAAAATAATGACAATTATCAACAGTACATTCTACCAATCTCACATTTTCAGGAATGCAATTTCAGAAGGAATAATGATTCTTATGTAGCATTTGTCCATAACTTAATAACATGCCACACTTCAATGACACTGAAGTTCACATACTGTGTGCTTTCAAACAAACCATCGTTTTCAGTTAGTTTTTAACTTTAAGCTACACAGTTGATACTACCTATGAAGTGAAGCACAGATAGCAATTATATTTTAAATTCAGTTATAGGCTTGGAATCAGAGGAGATTTCTATTGGCTCCAGAGTATGTAGTCTACAGAAAATAAAAAGAAACTACAGTATCCTCAGTCTTTTTTTGGTAGCCTGAAAATTATTTTCTAAGGAATAGTGCTGTCAGAGTTTTCATTTTGAAAACTGCCAATGGTACAATATATTTCATGGGATGACAGCTTGTCCACCGTATCTCTTGATCTCTCTGAAACGTTGAAAAATGTTGTAAATATCTATCCACAAAATAAGGTCAGGCTAGACTTAAGATGGAAGAAACTTTCCAAGTGGAAAACAGCACAGTCACTCTATTAACTAACCTAGTATCATCTATTGATAGTTGAAGGAGTTTTTAGTGGATAGTTGAAGGAGTTGTATTTGAAACTCAGAAAGAAGAGGGAGCAGCGTTTACATGATTAAATGATGGGCAAAATAAAGTGCGTTGAAGATAACTCATTCTGAAATCTAAAGAAAAGATAGAGGCCCCATTTCCAACTTTTTATTCAAAAAGGGCCTACTGTAGATGTTTTAACTACCATAAAGACTCAAGAAACAGTACCATCTAGTGCCCAAACAACAGTACTGCATACCAGGCTGTCCATTACCATCCAAACAGGGGATGTTTTCCCATGTTTTAGGGCAGGGGTCCTCAGTCCCCGGTCTGTGGACCAGCACTGGTCTGAGGCATGCCAGAAACCAGCCTGCACAAACAAGAGAAACTCCATCCATGGGATGCAGGCAGCATGTGAAACTACACCCCTCCTGGTCCACAGAAAAACCTGTCTCCATGGAACCGGTCCCTGGTGCCCAAAAAGTTGGGGGCCATTGTTTTAGGGCCCTGGAAATGGCTTAATGCCAAAATAGACCATTGGCCCATCTACTTCAAGAACTGTTTTGAGGTAGCTCCATCTGCAGAGATCAAAACTTTTTTTTTTACCAATACAGTTTTACCACTTTTTCCTCAGAAAAATGCGTCCTTCAGGTATTCCATAAGAAACATGGCAATTATATTCATGACACCTCACAACTTGATTTCTTTTTCTACATGCATAATTTTAAAATGTTGCTTAGAACTCAGCATGAAACCTAAGGGCACTAGAAAACTTTGGCAATCTTGAGAGAGTAATGAGGGGAAAGAACCATTTCAAATACAGGCCAAATGCTGTGACGAACACATAGGATTTATAACTATTACTTCCTATAGTTGTAACATCAATATATTACATGTTTGCTAAGTACTATTTTAAAAAGCTGAATTTATCACGATAGCTACCCTGGATATGGTCTATATCAAAGCCAATATTTAAAATGCAGAATTAATCAAGATAGGCCTTTGGATAAGTCCAAAGTGCCCTTGGGCTGAGACTTCTGATATTACTGAGGACTGAGAAATGTGAAAAATGTAGCTGGTAAAACCTCTTCTTTCATAAAGATGCCATAAACCTATCACTTCCTATCTCATTCTGATAATATCTTTGCACCCAGAAGCTTAGTAAAATAAAATAGGGTAGAATATTGCTATATAATTCTTGGTAATACAGAAAAAAAAACCCGGATTGACAAAAAAAAGAACTCCCTCTTCAGACTTTTAGACTTCACAAACTTAAGTGAAAAAGAAGTATACCGCATTCAGAAATATGGAAGTTGAGTCATTTTTGGGGGTATGAAACATTTCACTGCTTATCAATCTGAAGAAGCTACTTGGATAAGCAAGGAAACATTTCAAGCAAACAAAACAAACACCAAAGAAGTCCAGTTGCCACAACTCAACTTCCAGACAATTCTACTTGGATGACTGAGAATCTTTATTGAAGCATTCAGAAATAGGCTTCTAACATCAGCATAATGCTTTTTGGGTTTAGATTTCTTAATGATGGAAAACGACAGGCACTTCCCATCACAGCTGCTTAGAAAGCAAAGAGCTATTATGGAAACAGCCATGGGAGAAGGACACCAATAATGCCAAGCTCAACCTCATATAATGGGGCTTCCATACAGAATAATCATCCACTATATGGTAAGCTGCTGCCTGTCACCAAACTTAAAAATAAATTGTTGGTCTTTTGTAGCTCATCATAAAATTGTTAAGTGGTTAGCAAATAGCCAGCATGCGATGCAACTCTAAGTACAAAGCCTCATGAGATCACAAGCAACCATTTGAAAATCTGTTGACTCAACATCTTGACTCAACATCTTAAAAGCCACCGAGAGCTGCGGGCATCCGTGGGGGAGAGAGTGGGGTGAGGCCAATGTTGAAATTTGTGTTGTGACATCATCATGGAAACTTCTTACATCCTTGCATATCATGAGGCAAGTATAAAAGGGCAGTGCGTAAATCACGACATTTTGCCGTTTTAGTATCATCTTAGCTAGTTGCAGAAACTTATGCAAAGAATGGGGGCTTCTGAAGAATAAGAGTTGGGTTTAGGAGTAAAGGCATGCAAAGGAATTACTCAGAAAATGAATTTTGGTGCTAACTTTTCTGGCATAAATATCTTACTCACTTCAAAGATCAGTTTACTCTCTCTTATATATGTCCTTGCAGAATATTCAAGTATTTTTAGCCACTTGAAACTATGGGAACATTTCTGATCTTAAAGGAAATCATTCAGTGCAAGCTAATCGATAAAAGTTGCAAATATATTTCCCCCAGTTACCATTTGGATATCCTGAATTAAATCTTTGCAATTGATAAAGATGATATGTTGAAAGCCATCCCAACTGTGGAGTAAGGAAAATGACTTACTTGACAGAGTTATGCCATCTCTATTGCCAGGGTGCAAAACATACTTTAAGTTCACAACAGACAGATACTACTTAGAATGACACAACCAGACCTGTAAGATTCTGATGTTATAGCCACTCTCAATTTCCTGTGGAGTTGATTTCTTAGTCTAGTCCAGTGCTTCTCAACGTTTGTGTGACGGCGCCCCCCGTCACACAAACGTTCTGCGCATGCGCGGCGCGCATGAGGGCGGCCCCCCATACGCGGCGCGCATGTGCGATGCCCCCCCACGCGCGGTGCGCATGCGCGACGCCCCCATGCGCAGTGCGCGTGCGCGGCGGCGCCCCATGCACGATGCATGTGCACGGCACCGTGAAAAATGGCGGATCGCCGCCTTTGGCAACCCCCGAAAAATGGGCGATCGACCCCAAATGGGGTCGCGACCCATAGGTTGAGAACCGCTGGTCTAGTCTATCTAGTGCAGGGGTAGGCAACCTTGGCTCTTTTATGACTCATGGACTTCAACTCCCAGAATTCCTGAGCCAGCCATGCTGAGGGGAATGGGAGAGTTTCCAAGCTGAGCCATGCTTGCTCAGGAATTCTGGGAATTGAAGTCCACGAGTCATAAAAGAGCCAAGATTGCCTACCCCTGATCTAGTGTAACTGACACCAACAGGTGACACTTAGCTGACCTTAGCTGATCTCAAAAAGCTAGGCAGGATAGGACTTTATTGGTACTTGGATCATAATCCAGCAAGAAATTATAGAACCATCAACTACATTGGGAAATTGGGGGAAGAAAACCTCTCACACAAAGCCTCCTAAAAGGGAAAGTCTGTCTAGATGCCAACAAAACTGCATGGATGTATTCATATAACCACCAGGAGGTCAAGTTCAACCCCAGACAGCTGTGACCCATCTCATCAAGCTTGGCAGGAAGGGGTATGAGATCATGCCAAACACAGATTAAACCTTGAAAGCAACCATTCCCAGCTGTACTTTCAATTCAGTTTGCTTGCACATGCTAAAGATCCCTATGGGGAGTTTCTTCTTCAAAACTCTACCTAGGCAATCAGCTACAAGATGATTTTGTGAAGGACAAACCAAAACTTCCAGCTTGGAAAAAAGTCAAACTCTAACCCTGGGTTAACTAAAGAAAAAGATACCGATGAGGAATCCGTGCTTGCTTCCTAATTCTTTTCATTCTAAACTATTAAACCTTCCTAAGAATTTTATTTTCCACACTTGGCTGTTAATCGTTAACAACCTGTCCAGTCTCAGAGAAGTTTAAGAAAATGAAGTCAAGATGTTTATTCATTGCAATATTGCACATTATAGTTTGTTTTTTTTTTAAAAAAAATAACATGGTAATTGTCAGTGAGAAGTAGTGTTTACTTATAATCTAACAAAGCCCACACATTTGAGAAAAACTGCAATAGCACAATGGTTGTTCGTTAAGAGAACATCATAGTCTCTGAAGTTGTGGAATCTTGGCAACCAGCAAGGTTGCCAAGTATTATCCTAAACAGGTTTAGCGGGGCCCAGGAAACACATCTGGTAGAGCCAGGTTTATTTACCACACCTACAGGGTCAAGAATTGCATCTGCCCAAGCTCTCTGTTATTCAGCTACTAAATAAAATTGAATGCTCGCCATTCATAGGCATCAATGACCTTCCATGTGGGTCCAAGCTCAGATTATGAGTCAATTTGAGTTTGGAACCTGGGAGCCCTTGAGATCATAAATTAAAAAAAAAAAAACTGACTATGTGTTAAAAGGAAACATCATCCTCATTACCAATCAATTTATTTGGCATTCCCATGCAATATAAGATGCTCAAGCTTAAATTATTATTCCAATGATTTTCTAACAAATATGTTGATGTTATATTTCCATTCAGCATATTTCCTCTCTTAATAATCATGACTCAAGACTGACTTTGTTTGCTGTGACTTTCTGAACATAGTGCCCTTAAGGAGCTATATTCCCCAGATCAAAGTTAATTTTGATCCTTTTTAACTCCCAAGAGCAACAAGAAAACGAGCAAGAGAAGGAATGCACGCAATTGTCCAGGAACCTACAACATTTAGTAATTTTTTTTCCCTCAAACAAAAAGCTGCCAGAAAATGACAACATGGCTGGCCTGCTTTTTGCATTAAACCAAGATTAATTCCTTCAAAGGCAAAAGAAAGAAAGAAAGAAAGAAAGAAAGAAAGAAAGAAAGAAAGAAAGAAAGAAAGAAAGAAAGAAAGAAAGAAAGAAAGAAAGAAAAGGAAATTGCATAGATCCATGCTAGGACAAATGTTGGAAGCAGAATATACGGGATTAACCTACAAAAAGCAGCAATTTGTTAAATATTCTGGAAAAGGGGGAAAAAAAGTTATCCAAAGGGGGACACTCAATACTCAAGGACAAGTACGTTCAGCAAAGCCATGCTAGTGATACTGCAACACTATAGGAAGCATGGATGATTTGTGGTTTTCCAAAAACAAAAACAAAAAAGGGGGGAGGAACACCAATGTCATGGATAAACTGGAGGGTAACAACCAAAAACTGTCACTGAGGAAAAGTTTTGCAATGAGAAAAAGCAATTTCATTCACTATCCAAGACCTTACTTGATGGTATAGTTGTGGTCTTAGCGCCGAGTTCTCAATCATAGTGTGAACCAAGATGATTAAAGGTTCATTCTCTTTCATCTATTTCAAATCAGGAGGAGCATACAGCAAACATCAGTTTACAGCACGGCTAGATTTGAAAGACGACACTGTAAATATAGCCTCTACTTTAATTGTTTTCCATTAGTGCAGCAGTTTATAATTCCTCTCATGATTAGTAAACTGTACATACCCAAGAGCTTGTTAAAACTAAACTGGAAAAAACCTATGAATTTAAACTAGATTGCTGTACATTCCATATTAGATTAAGCAGTAAATATCATTAATAAGATTCTAGAAAGCTTCCAGAGACAGAATATAATTAATTGAGATGAATAAGATGCTATTTTCATTATTCCATTTACATATCCCAGTTTACAAAGATTAAGACATGTAACAGAGTGTAGGAAAAAAACTGTGCAATATGAAGACCTGTTTGGGGCAAAATAAAGGTTTCTGGAACGTATCTTTTAAGATCTAAGGTAGCAACCGTGTGCCAACTTGGAGATTGAATGAGCATAGACTTCACCCAACTTTTTCTCTGTTAAAGTATCTCTTTCTCCTCTCAGTAGAACCAGGTCTAGACCTAAGATAAACTATGTATGAATTATGGCCACCAAGAACTGTGCTTATCTTACCATTCTACAGTGTAAACTACAATTCAAATAAGATTTTTTAATGAATGCCAATTTAATTTTCATATACATTTCCTGACCTTCAATATAGCATTACAACATAAATCTGAATAGTTTTTCTGAAAATAGTTCATATATTTACACAGCTTCTAACTCAATTTTTTGTTACAATAGCTGTTGTCTATTTCATATTATTTAAATTAACTGCTTTGTAAGCCATATTTGCTTTGATCAAGCATAAAGTTTTAGAAGTTGTAAGACTGAACAAAAATTTCTGAATACTTTGAATTCATTTATTGGACTTTCTAGTTGCATTGAAAAAAAGGAGGATAAATGCTCCTGACACTGAGCTTTTAAGGATTTGGTTCAACTAAAATGTGGTGTATGCGTTTAATACAGTTCAAGAAAATGCACCAATATACATATAGAATTTTAGATTATATGTGTTCCTTTGTACAGATTCCACTGATCTATTTACTTAGAAAAGAGATGAAAACAACTTGGCACTGCGATATGAAAACCAGGAAATAAATGGCAGAAGATACAGACTGGAATGAGAGATGGGAACTGTTAATAGAATTGCAATAGCTGTGTAAGAGGTCACTGACAAACTACGGTACATTTTCTATGTGTATGTGAGGAAGGCAGCTCGCTTAACCATGAGCTGGGTTCTTTTTAGTTGCAGAAATTTTTCCCCATTCTAACCATCTGTTCCAACATCATAAAAAGAGGCTGTTATTTAATGCAACAGCTTTTCCACACCAAAATTTAATAGAGTCAATTATATATTTTTCCTAAATAAAAATAATGTTGTAGCTTTCCTTAGGTATCAATATTTTATTTATGCCAATGGTTTTGTGGCTGTTGTTAGTACAAGGGAAGACAGATTGCCTTTCAGAGATTTAATTCATTTCTGGCAGTTGCAAAGGTTCTACTGCATATAATAAATGGTAAGGTATGAAGCAGAGACAAAAACATGTATATTTCTTTATCTCAGAGAACAGTTAGTTGATTTAGCAATTTCAATTTCAATCCATTTTCTTACTAAAGCTTTACTGGGAATGCTTGAATTAATGTGATGCCAGCTCTCAACTGTCAAAACTAACGTCATTTTTATTCAAAAATAGGCCTGTGATGAACACACTTCAGACAGGAAGTATGAAATGTCTGTTTAGGAGGGTCTATGACAGTGGTTCTCAACCTTTTTAATGCCACGACCCCCAACCGGTCGTAAGTCGAGGACTACTCAACCGGTCGTAAGTCTAGGACTACTCAACTGGTGCAGCACCATTTGCAGAATGGGACTTTTGGCGGGCTCAGCAGGGCAGAGACAGCCTGGACAATTCCTATTGGCTTTTGAAAGCCAATAGAATTAGACTCTATTCAAGAGAGTCTATTCTATTGGCTTTCAAAAGCCAATAGAATAAAAGGGAGTAGCACAGCTAAGGAAAAGGGGGAAAAAATGGCGGACTGCGTTGTTTGGCGACCCCCGTGAAATGGTCGTTCTACCCCAAATGGGGTCCCGACCCACAGGTTGAGAACCACTGGTCTATGACAACTCACCACGGGACAATTCAACCCTGTATTAATTGTCTCAGTCAGGTACTTTTATTATTATTCATCATGGATCCGTCAACGTTAATTTAACTTTCCTACTTGTTGAATTGTCCCACGGCGAGTTGTCCCGTTCCGTGTTCAGGATAACAGCAGAGCAAATACCCATAGAAGAAAATATCTGTAGCTCAGGGTTGAACTGTGGGTCCTTGTTGAACTCTAAATGGCGTGCTTTTCTTGCAGACGTTTCATTACTAAATTAGGTAACATCATCAGTGCTGGAAGTAATGAAATGTCTGCAAGGAAGCAACCAAGCTCAGAGAGCACCAAGAACCCAGCAGTACAAAAGCTTGTGTGAAAGTGCAACAATACATATAAAAAAAAACTGCAGGACATAGGGAGTCTCTGGAGACATTGACCTAATAGCAATCCCAGTATGCTAAAACTAGGCTATTTCACAGTTTCTCAGTGTGATGTAGTGCTCATAAGCAATACAAGGTAAGAATGAAAAATGATGTCTTTCACGGGTTATTCAGAGCTATTGCTAAAATGACTCAGTTATAGAGTCAGCTCTACAAGAAATGGCTGAAATGAATGTAAACACAAGCCCACTGCTTCTAGTCTGAATATTTTAGGCTGCCCAAAGGTGAACATAAATCCAGCAACATGACTTTAATTATTACACATTAATTATATGCATTGAAATCTAATTGAGTTTTCAGCATTGCTATGGTAAGTAGGCAAAACCTGTCTATCAAAATTCTGCAGACAACTAAAAATCCTGTGTTAGCATTACACATAGCCGCCATAAACCTCTTTTAAATGAAACAGGGATTTCCCTAAATTTTGGTTCACCAAACAGATTTAACTATTGTACTTTATTAAAAAATAAGTTCACTTCAAAAATGTTTAAAATTGTACAGTGATATGAAAAGCAGCCTCTTCCAGGAGCATACAATAGTAATAACACTATTTAGGGAGTACTAATCTGTTCTCAATATCCTTGAAAATACTTGCCATTTTCTCCTGCAGTTTGTAAAGTGTTTCAATTCGAATGTATAATTTTTATTTCTGGGCAAGCTGAATCAAATATCCTGACAGTTCTCTTGCTTGAGACACTTCCAAAACTTAAGATACGACGTTAATTGAGTTTCACGCTTTCAAACTGTTCAAAATGGAAACAGTATGAACTGCATATTACAGCAGTATACATTGTGAAATGAAGATCAACCTTTATGCTTCAGAGTAAAAAATTTATAAAACGAAGAGATTTTATGTTGGCTCCAATTAATAAAAATGTGGGCTGGCCTCAGGCATTGTGGGCTAATGTTGGCTCAATAGCATTCCAATCAAAAATTTAGCTTTGTAATTGCAAAGACAGAAGATGATAAAGGGAAAGTAGAAAGCTGGAAAGAACTGCCCATTTCTTTAGTAAAAGTTAAAGAGACAAGAGTAACAAAAAGATAATGGCAAGATTTTCATTTCTGAAAGCTGCATTTGGTGAAGCCTGTTCTAAGTAAGGGAAAACATCTGCAAAATATAAATATAATGGCATAGACTTGTGCTACAAGTTTAATAATAATATTATATCAGAAAACGGATAGTCAATGGAAGAAATTGAAACAATTATATATAAAATGTCTTCATTTTGACATTAGCATTCTAGATAAGGACCACACAAATTACAGATAGTTCTCAGCTTAAGACCAGAATTGGGCCCAAAATTTCCATTGCTATGCAAGGCAACTTTTAAGCGAGTCACACCCAATTTTACAACTGTTTTTGCTACGGTTGTTAAGTGAATCACTACAGATATGAGTCATGTGATCATTAAGCAAACTTAGCTTCCCCCACTGACTTTGCTTGTTGGATGCCAATTGGGAAGGTCGCAAATGGTGATCACAAGACCCTAGGATGCTGCAATCATCATAGAGACAAGAACTAGAACAGGGATCTTCAAACTTGGCCCCTTTATGACTTGTGGACTTCAACTCCCAGAATTCCTCAGCCAGCGTGCCTGACTGAGGAATTCTGGGAGTTGAAGTCCACAAGTCATAAAAGGGCCAATTTTGAAGACCCCTGAACTAGAATTACCAAGAATTAGAATTTTGATCGTGTGATCATTGGAATGCTGTGACAGTTGTAAGTCATTTTTTTTTAGTGCTGTTGTAACGGCACTGAATGGTCACTGAACTGAACTGTAACAGTCACTAAACAAATGGTTGTAAGTTGAGGACTATGTGTAAAATGGTACTGAACCCATTCAAATAGTGCATCCCAAATGATACAATACAGGACCACGGGATGTGTCTTGGCATTTAAAATTGCCGCTTTAATAGCCCCAGAAAATTTTTTCACAATTTTAAAACTGCAGCAGGATTGCAGCGATGTGTAAAAGTTCTGTGACAAAAAAAGGAATAATTAACATATGGTTAAATACAGACATAGAGAAGAAAAGCTATGAGTCCCACCTGATGGTCCAAATAAATGGCATTCCTTTGGAGATGATGAGAGAGAATCTCACTCTAGCAACCCGCAGAGAAGAAGGAGGAAAGAAAGAAAGGGACAGATACGAAGAGGTGAAAAAGTCGTCCAGGAAAGAAAAAGACACCACACATCTTAACTTTAACGCTTTCTAGATTATGCCTGCAGATGTCATACATAACTCAGTGAAAAATGGGAACTGTAAAATTTATATTGGCCTTTAGTAATATTTCATTGACATAAAGAAACCAAAATAAAAAAAATCATACTGGCTTTTAAATTAATTTTAATGAGTTAATTTAATTAGTGAGACAAAGTCAAATAAGGTTGCACTTGCTTTCAATGTTATATTAGCTACAAAAATTAGCTTTCAATATTAAAACAAAATGAAGAAAAAAAACCCACAATAAATCATGTTAAATCTATTCAGACTATAAACCCTTTGATACACGTGGATGTTATTTCCTGCAGCTAAAAACCAATTGTAAGTTGTCACAGTGAGGAGAAAAGAGAATGAAACCCTTATGCCAGATTGCATTTATGACCTCTCTAACCTGTTCTGGCTTCAGAGTTGGGTGTCATCTAGCAATTTGCATAATTTAGAGTTCATGAAACCAAAATGCCTTTGGATTGTTCTCTTCACGTGGATAGCAATATATTTCACACCAGAACTCAAAGGGTTGATAGTAGAACATCACAGACAACCAGGAAAGCAGAATCCACCTTAGGAAAAGATGGCCCAATGCTATACAGAGTTGGAATGAGGGAAAACGGCACGCAAGAAACATCATTTCATAGCTGACCTTTGGACTGCTGGCCTCAAGTTTTAGTTGCATGAGTTGTGCTAATGTGTGTTCCCGGATACTACTCAGTTCGGCTTGCTGCCTTCTCAGCTTTATGAGTAGCAGCGTGAGCTCCTCTGGCTAAAGGAACATTGGGTAAGAAGCCAACAGGGGAAAATTAGTTAATTTTTGTCTTGGACAAAACTTTGGTTTTACACTTGCATTCAATAATGCTAGCTAGTATAGTATAATGAAGTTATGTCAGTCCCTTTGGAGCGAGAGGACTGATGACGCTTTCCAATAAAATCTGTCTCAATGAGGAGGAACCAAAAAGTTTGGGGTTTGGAGTGAACTCCTCCAACGAATCAGACAGAAGGACGACTAAGGGTGTCATTGCAGCTACTTTTATTTTGTGCACATCGTAGTAAAACTTGGTTTACTTCCCATCCCCCAAAGCTGGGAAGAAGCCATGAAGGTTGTGGGTATCCAAATGTCTTGATTATTTTGTCAGAAAAGTAGAAGCTATGGAAACTGTTAACTGATTCTAAGGGTGGAAAAAGAAAAATAATGAAATAATCCATAACTATTTTTTTTTTACAAAAAAGTCATATACAATTGAAGATGGCAAATTCAAAATTCAATTCGCTTTTTACTTTTTTATTACAGTTACAGTTCCTCCCACGTTTCCCAGACTACTTCTCAGCACATTCATGCTAAAACTGAAGGCACAAAAGCACAGCTTGATGTTCAAGGATCAAGGATAAATTGTGATAGAAAGTGAAAACATTCTGAAAGCAAACACTGTGTCACCGATTCATAAACCTGCATTCACAGATAGACCGCTGATGTAGAGACCTTTTTGAATCAAACAGCTACTTTATTATTAAACTACAAATACAGTCAATGCTTCAAAATAAGTTATTTTGCTCTGACATGTAGCAGGTTTTTTTTTTTTTAAAAAAAAAATCTTATGACCGGAGAATCAGTAAACTATTCTGCAAGCATCCATTGCAAAGAAAAATCCTAACCTTGAATATTTTAAGACAGACCGTTCTCTTTCACTCAAGTGATCTAATTTGCTCCATTTTCTTGCTGTTATGTATCTTTTCTCAACACAAGAAGTTATAATTTGATTAATACATTTCTTGATTTCTCTATCCTGGATCCTGATCCCAGCTGTTTATAGACAGCTTTTTCATTACTATTTTTTTTTTTTTTTTACCGTTAGTCCTCCATTTCCAGAACTGCCTCCTTTATGCTCCCAAAGTACTGCTGAAATTGATGTAAGTTCCCGGCATTTTCGAGAAATAAATCTCACCAGGCTGATTCGTGTATCAACAACTCCCAAATATCTTTAGTCACCAAGCACATATATTTTCTATATAGCAAACTGTAATCTTTCTACAATGTGCCACGTTCAATTTTCCTGAGACAAGGACTTGTTCCCACATCTAAGGAGAATATCCCATTCTTTGTAGATGTATCTGCTACACAAGGACAGAGCCACTTAGAAGCTTTGGAATTAGACCCTCATTTTTTTCTTAATGGTTTCAGATTTGAAAATCCACATTGCACAGTGTTAAACTTAAAAGTGTATTCATAGCACAGAACACTAGCAATTGTGGATGTATTTAATAAAGCCCAGCAGAGGGAGCTATCTTATGTTTTATACTAATAAACTATTATTTCCTTGAGTATTTTTTAGTAGAGGTTCTTATGTTCTTACATCTGTGTAAGCAATCCACCAGTATTTCATTTGGAGAGACTTAAACTACATAGAAACATACTCAAAAAGAAAAAAAAATCCATGTAGTCATGGCTAAATTCAATGAATTTTGGGAAAGTCTGCAGAAATCTATAATCTGTGAACTAAGGCTTTGATACATAACTGTCACGTACTTCTAATGATGTGGATAACATTGAAATTATAGGGTAAATAAATTTTTGTCATAAGACAGCACAATACATAGCCAACTGCCTAGAGCAGCAATTTTCTATCTAATTGTGACTCCTATCATGAAATAATAAAAACCCTCAGTAACTGGCATTTCCTTTTTTATCATTTAATGGTAAGTCAGTCTGTGAAACGGACAAAAAATAAAATCTTTATAAATGCTCTAGTGTAGTCCTAGAAGTGTCTACATCCTTCCCTTCCCGGAAATATGCAGTTCAAACAACAGCTGAAACGAAGTAAGAACCAATTACCCTTGCAAAATTTAACGTGGGCAGGCAGAATTGACCCATTGGAAAGGATACCCTTTATTGGCTGAAAGAATCAGGACAGGAAATTGCATTTAACACAGACTCTGTAACTAGAATAGTTGTCAGAATGTATGTTACGTTTTATAGGTTGCTCTTAAATAAGAAACGATGGACTAAATATAAAAATGCCACTCACAGTTTTGTCTTGCAAGCTCTGGGGAGTAATAGGCTGTACACTCAAGCCAGCTGGAATTGACCTTCTTTCAGGCACATAGGCATGCTGCTATTTGGGGGGGGGGAGGAGAGAAAAACCAAACAAACCATGGGCATTGTTAATTGAAGGCTTTTATAACCAAAGGTTAAATGTAATATTTTCAACATGCTTTTCCAAGTCAACTTGGGGTTTATGTCCAAAGCGAAGGTGTTGGTTAATAACTTGTCAGTACAAACATCCTGAAATGTTGCACTTTCATCTGAAACTTTGCAAATATCAAGATGTCCCAGAGGACAGCATCCTTCTGACCGAATTTATAGTAACATTTATTTGTCATCCTGTTTTGAGGAAGGTCTCAAGTCAGTGAATAGGTAAGAAAATCTACTAGAGGCTCAAATGTGTCATCCTGACATAGTTATTAGTATGCTTTCCCCTTACACTTTCAAGAGCAGGGGTCTTCAAACCTGGCCCTTTTATGACTTGTGGACTTCAACTCCCAGAATTCCTCAGCCAGCGAGCCAGTGGCTGAGGAATTCTGGGAGTTGAAGTCCACAAGTCATAAAAGGGCCTGTTCAAGAGTTTGGGGAGCAGACTCGTGAGCACATATTGAGGAAAGAGAAAAGCAAAGGTTAGAAAATTACTCGCATTAAATCCATTTCATATATTGGTAGTCCTCAACTTACAACAATTCATTTAGTGACCATTCGAAGTTACAATGGCACTGTAACATCTCTAGAAGGATATCCATTGCTTACTCTCTCCATATGGAAACAGTAAAATCACAACGTAAATCATGTCCCCCAACATTATGGGGCCTCTAATTTTGTAGTTATAAAGCCAAAAGAATGCTCTCTTGTATGCCATAGTCTGAGTGGAGGAGAAGAACTATAGTGTAATTAACTCTTGGCAATCTTTCAAACAACAGTTTGATGGACTGCAGGGGAGGATGGTTATATTGTCTCTATATGTCCACTGAGTTAACACCACAAGATCCGCAAAGCCATATTGATGGGGGGAAAACTATAAAAGAAGAACATTGTTTATATACCCAGGACCACATGATCCACAAAGACTTGGGCGTGGCCTCTAGACCCAATCCAGAATATACTTTCAAAGAGGGTACATTATTTTCATGTGGCAGAAAAGGACAACAATTAAATGTAATGGATATTGCATTTACTGTATTTAGTTGATCAAATGTAATCTGAGTGAAACCACAGCACACCCCAAAAAGGTATCACAGCTCTTTATCTACTATCAGTTGCATAAGGAAGGAAAGCTATAGTGAGCTGAACCAACCATTAAAGCAGATATCCTTGTGGCCTGTGGGTAGGTCAGGGGGAGTCTGTGAACTTGGGTGGGATATCCAAGATTGGGTATCTTACCGTAAATGCCGGCGTACAAGGCGACCCGGCGTATAAGACGACCCCCGTCTTTATAGCCGGGCCGCATTCCTAGAACGCCGTCTTATACGCCGGAAACTACCAGTATTTCCGGCGTATAAGACGACTCGGCGTATAAGACGACCCCCGTCTTTGGCGCCGATTTCAGCGCTCGCGGAAGTCGTCTTATACGCCGGCATTTACGGTATTTCCCCAAACTGTCAAAGTGGTCCATAGCATAAAAAAAAAAAGAGAAGAATCCCTGTACAGGTAGTCCTCAACTTATGACCACAATTCAGCCCCAAATTTCTGTTGCTGAGACATTTATTAAGTGATCTTTGACCCATTTTGTGACATTTCTTGCCACAGTTGTCAAGTGAATCACTGCAGATGTTAAGTTAGCAACCTGGTTGTTAAGGGAATCGTTGACTTTGCTTGTCAGAAAGTTGCAAAAAGTGATCACATGACCTGGGGGACACTGCAACCATCGTCAATAACCCATCAGTTGCCAAGCATCTGAATTTTGATCACGTGACCAGGGGGATGATGGAATGGTTGTGTGAAAAACTGTCACGTCACTCTTTTCAGTCCATTGTAACTTCAAACGGTCACTAAATGAACTGTTGCAAGTAGAGGACTGTCTGTATTATAGGCAAATTATAAATAAGAGAGGACTGTTCTAGAGTGGCTGCTATGCATCCAGCCTATCTTTCGGGAGACATACATTGCAGCAAGTTGCCGAAAGCAAAACCCCTCACCTTGTTGTGATGTGATCTGTGTCTACGCTCAATGGTGACGTCTCCTCTTTGCACGGGGGAGGACACTTCTGACCTGTAGTTCCTCTGAGGGGAGTATCCTTGGAAACCTGCTATTGAACCATGGGAAGGTGATGTGGGAATCAAATGCATTGTTTGATCAGATATATTAATCATGGTTTTGGGACTGCTTAAAGTACCGTGTCTAGTAAGAGTTGTTTGCTTATTGTAAAACTGCCGTTGTTGCCATTCGTAGAGTTGCCACATGGTGTCATCCCGCATCGATCTCCTTTTATCTTCCGCTGGCAAGGATCCAAGGGTCTTATCATAAAGAGGTGTTGCACTGCAGATGCTATCTGGCCTGGTCTTCATGTTTCTTGGAAGAGTGCGATAACCTTCTGGATAACGAGGTAGGACTTGGGCTCGATGGCTTGGCATATTTCTTGGTAGAGTCTGATAAGAAATTATGCTGAAACAAGACATCTCCATTAGTTGTTTAGAAAATAAATGGGTACCTTAAAAGTAACATGTAAAATTGGCGACATCATATAAAGAAAACCTGTTTACAGATGGCATCTCCCTCCGGCCAGATTAGCCAAAATGTATAACGGATATTCTTCTAGGTGTTGGAAATGTAAAAAAGAAAAGGGCACCTTTTTTCATGTATGGTGGACATGTAGAGAAGCACAGGTATATTGGCGTTTGGTCTGGGAATGGGCAATAGAAATGATTAGGCAAAACATTCTATACAAACCTGAGGCATTACTATTAGGAATACTAGAGAAAAATGTAAATAAAGAGGACACATATTTAATTATTCACGTGGTTACGGCGGCAAGGATACTATTTGCTCAAAAGTGGAAAGCAATGGAAGTACCAAGTGAGGAAGTACTAATAAAGAAAATTATGTATTGCGCAGAACTAGATAGGATAACTAAAAGATTAAAAAATCAGGAAGAAACAGAATTTTATCGAATATGGAATAAATTTTATAGATGGAGGGAAAAAAATGGAGGTCACAAATAAAGAGATAAGTTAAGATAGAGACCAGAAATGTATAGTTTGTATATAGATATATTATATGTAATTAATGTACAATATGGACTGAGATGTCAGTCAAAGACGATTTACCATGTTCAATGTTTTTAATCCTTTTTTTCCTTTGTACTCAATAAAAACTTATTAAAAAAAAGTAACATGTAAAAAATTCTTTTTTTCTACATTTTATCTCTTCGGGTAATTTAGTCTTGCATCCTACTTACAACCTTAGGTCAAACAGAGAGAATATATGCCTTACTCCATCCATTCAAACCAAAGGAAGCTGCCCTTGAGAGGAGGGGATACCAATAGCAATCCATGAGTAAGTCCATAGAAACATATAATGCCTTTAAGTAAATAGAAGTGTTTCACCCCCCCCCCAGGAAAAACTGTATGTTATGATTCAATTAACTGCTTCAAAAGAAAGTATTTTTTCTTGAGGTTGGCAGAATACGTATTTATGGAAACAAGCAAAATGCATGCTAGAACTACAAGTGTTCATTTTCATCTTCATAATTAATATATCTGTTATGATGCAACTACTAGAATTTTACCTAGTCTGACCAATAATAACTGCAGTTTCAACAATCTGGGAGGTGCCAACTGGAGAAATTTATACTAGCATATTTTTTTTATAATATACATTACCAGGGATTGCCAGAAAGAAGATATGAGTGAATCCAAAATCAATCAATGTTATAGTTATTATCTTATGTGCACTGGAAAATCATATCTCCAAATGTTTACGCTGCATATATTTTATCACCAAGATCAGTATCAGCTCTAAGGAAAGAAGTATCTTTTTTTTAAAGTACAAATCTGAACCTACTGATTTTATTAATTCCTATAAAACATGCAGTTACTGCATCTGCATGGGTTGATGCATGTATATACAACTACAACCCCACAGACATTCTTCAACTGCTGAAAGCTTTTGGTATAAATAAGTTAACATTAAACTCAGTAAGCTTAAAGTATGTAAAAGGAAAGAGAATGGACTGGAGGGATGGGAAACATTTTTTTTTAAAACAGTGCAATCATATCTAAATATGCTTTTTACAAGAACAAAGCACATTTCTGATTGGGACAGCAAAGATACACATGACTTTGCAAATATGAAGGCCAAGCTGTGTAATCTATAAACTGTTTGGAAGGAGAAACACAAGAAATAGAAAAACAAATACCCTCTAATGCCCACAGACTTTTCATAATTGAGGGATATGGCACTTATCTTTCTAAACTACTTTCCTAGAGCACATAATGACTTTTCCTTGGAGATCTATACTTTACATAAGAAATAAGTAGTGCCCTGCTGGATCAGACCCCTGGCCTATCTGATCCTGTGTGTTCTCACAGGGCCACGCAACTGCACAAGGAAATCCACCAGTCTCCTAGCAGATGACCTTCATCAAGGCTAAATAGCTGTTGATCCCCATGATTTTCATGAATTGATCCAACTCTTTTTGGAAGCCGGTTGAGTTGGTAGCTAGCACTACATGTTTGGTCTGTTACCTTGTCCTCACATGCTCTGTATATGTATTGAAATAAGCTGTGTTGGCAGTCAGTCAGTAAAATAAAGGAAGGGACAATATGAAGAATTGCAGAAGATGGTATTGGTGAAGTTCAATGACACAACCTTTTAGCAGCCTGTTTGGTATGCACAGCAATACAGCTATGCAAATTCTGGCTCATCTTTTTTTATTTTGAAGATGAATCTTCTTAATATGTTCTTAATCTATTATTTTATTAAACATGTTGCTTCATATATTCCTATATTAAAAACACAGTGACTTTTTCCAGGTATGAGAAATTAATTGTTTTGAAATCCTCCTCTAGTACTTTGGTCTACATAGATAAGGTTATGTTCAAGTTATGAAACAACTTTGGCCACTTACAACTATCAAGTTATGAAACAACTTTGGCCACTTACAACTAAGTTCTCATTTGTTCAATTAACTATTTCTAACTAAATGTGCATGTCCCTGTTAGTTTATTTTTTTAGCTTTGTTATGTTTTTATTTAAGGATAATGCACCAGATACTCTTACAGCTGAAACTGTGTCTTAACTACAGTTACTGTCTGACACTGAAGTATCTCGGCGTGACACTCGACAGGATGCTCCCTTTTAAACAGCATTGTCTGAACACTAAGGCTAAAATCAGCTCGAGGAACAGTATCATCAGGAAATTGATAAACTACACATAGGGAGCTCAACTATCTACGTTGTGCACATCAACTTTGGCCTTGAGCGTCTCTGCTGGAAAGTATGCTGTTTGGGGCGCATCTGCACATACAAAACAAATTGATATTGCTGTCAATGAGGCAGTATGCTTAGTGACAGGTTGTCTCAAGCCTACACCAAGAGCCGAGGTGGCGCAGCAGTTAGAGTGCAGTACTGCAGGCCACTTTAGCTGACTGTGTTCAGCAGGTCAGCGGTTCAAATCTCACCGGCTCAAGGTTGACTCAGCCTTCCATCCTTCCGAGGTAGTAAAATGAGGATCCAGATTGTTGGGGGCAATCTAAATATATATATATACATTGCTTACTAGTGTACACCGCTTAGAGAGTGCTTGCACTTAAAGCGGTATATAAGTCTCATAAATAAATGAGATCAGAAGAGAGGTAGCACCAGATGCTGAGAGAACTAAGCAAGAGAGTGATCCTTGACATCCTCTGAATGGGCATGTATCTTACGCCCGCCAACTCAGATCTAGGAACAGCTTTATGGCAAGAACAAACATTCTTGAGCGTACACAAGAACAAAATCAAATTAGAAGATGGAGGAACTAGACCATCGGGAAAGGAATAACATTAAAGGAGGATATGGCTGAAGGATCTGACCTCCCTTATACTACCTGGAGGACCCTGAATAGGTTGAGAGTTGGAATGTCTAAATGTAAAACTAATATGCTCAAGTGGAGGCTCTTAGAGGGTAACAACACGCTGTGCAAATGTGGAGAAATACAGAGCCCATCCCATCCGTTGGCACGTCGGCTACTACCAGAAACATGTACCGATAATGATTTATTTTTGGCCAATGACAAAGAAGGTGGCTTCATTCTGGCAGTTTCAAGTTTGATCTAGACATGGAAGAATAAGAAGAACTAGCTATAAATTCATTTCTGCAATAAACCTCAATTTCTAACACTTGCTTTGTAGTTTGTACTGTAGGGTGCAAGACTAAAATTTTTTTTTTACACTTTAATATGATACAGTGATTACAAATTGGGACAAAATTTATATAAAAACAAAGTGATGCAAAGATTGACTATGCTCACAACACCGGAGACAGATGCTTCTTGTATGACTTTGTTACACATACACAACTATCTTCAGTGGGTTTACCAACTGCTGCTTTTTCCAAAACCCCTGGGAAGAAGGTGACGACTTTAAAAGTCATTAACACATCACAAGCAGACAACTCAAGCTGTGCTCACTGAATTTCCATTCTGATCATGCTTAAGGCCTCATGCTCTAGCAAGGTTTCATTCATTCTCATGTTCTTACAAAATAAGACAGCCTACCTAGTTTCTTTATACACGTGAATGGGTAAGTCAGATTTCTTTATCCAGCTTCCTCTAACCTAGTTTCTCTCTCCCTTTCTGTATCTAGCAAATAAGTAGCTTATTCGTCATTTCCTCCTCTCTAGATAATTGGCTTTTCATGCAGCTGCCCTCTGTAAAGAGAAGAGAGGCAGAGGAGAATGGGGCAGGTTGCCTTGCTACGGGAAATACTATGACTGAACCAAGTCCCAATTCTCACAGGAGTAATAGGAACAGGTTTACAAGTGGAATGCTTGTTATAAGTCCTCAGGCATCCAGCTTCCCTTCTCCCCCAAGCAAAATACAAGATTTTTTTTTTTTTAAATAGTAACTTGAATTCTGCAAAATGCCTTGAAATTATGGAAAGGCAGGATAATCACTGTTAGAAATTTTTATGAGAAGAGATTTGTTACTTCCCTGGGAGCAATGATTGATCTCCCCATTCCATTTTCGCTCTAGATTTTATTGACTTTCCTAAAATTAATATTATATTGTTTTTTGGTAGCATATTTCCTAAAAGAGAAAGCAGGCATAAATCCACTTTAAGCAAAATCATCATTTCTAACTATATGGTCCATGCTAATAATTTCATCCATATTTAACTAACAAGATGTTCTCTGTGATCAAAAGGATTGGTTTTCTGCCAATTAATAATGTGTTGTTAATAGCTTTTGCCATTTCTACAGTGGACTGAAATTGACTTGGAGAACAGTCAATGCAATGAATCTCATAACAGCATTAAGGGATGGGATGAAATGGCACAGGTTCCCATTTCCTATATCTGCATAAATTTAAAACAATGGCACTTGATCCAAACATCAATTTTTCCTTGACATGTTCATTACGTAATAGAGTAATGTAATGTAGCCTGGCTTGCTACAATCAGATAATTTCTAATTACTTTAATCCTTAATTACATTGAGATAAGTTAGAAATTGTTTAAAGATCACTATAGCAAATATCAGGAACACAGGCAGAGATAATGTAACTCTATTATTTTTAACTCTAAAAAACAGAAGGGTCTTCTCCCCCCTTTAGGAAGGAGATTCTCTATTTCTTTAGTCTCCTGCCATGAAAATTTTATTTATTTATTTTCCACCCATCTTACCACAGAGTAACTCTGGGCGGCTTACAATATTAAGATATCATTGCTGTAAGTTTATTAAGGCTTCTGCTCTGACGTTTTTAACGTTGGCCTCCTTGAAATCCTAGGAAGAGGCTTGACTGTATGTCTATGGAGATTCTCAATCATCCAGGTCATGGTTGTCCCAAAGATGCTTTTGCAAAAGGCAACTGGACTTTTTTTGTTTTTTCCTTGAAAACGTTTCACTGCTCATCCAAAAAGCTTCTGAGAACTGAAGAAACTTCTTGGATTTCCTTCTCCAAGGAAAAACAAAGGAAGTCCAGTTGCCTCTTGAAAAAGCATCTTTGGGATGCTTGACTGTACTCAATATTCAATGTTCCTTCTGAGTTGACTTTGGTCAATAGGTTTTCCTGTTAGTATCAGGATTAGGAAAAAGATTGTCTGGTGCTTTCCTATAAGCAAGGAAGCTGAAAACTTCCTGAAGACTCCATGCCTGAAAAAATTAATTTCCCAGTGATTAAAACCCCCAATCACTGCTATATCTATCTTCCTGCAAGATCTGCATTTCCCTTCTACTATTATTTTAAACCTCATTGATTTAAATTAATCCACATTTTTTGTAGTTATTTTATCAAACTTAATTACTGGAGTATAATATTTTACACCAAAATGGAACAATCAGAATTGGATATTGCTAAGGCCTCCTAAAAATTCTATCTCTTGTCAGGCAGAACAAAATATTCCAGTCTTAACTGGCTCAGTCATCAGGGACGCATTTTAAAAGTCTTTAAGTGCTAAAAACATGTATTTTCATGTTTCTAAGTAGTTCTTTCTGTAAATACAGAAAATGCCGAGAGCACAGGAAAAACGTTAATTCTGTAACATTCTGTTTAAATTATTCCCTAGATCAGTCAGCCACTAACAGTTATATTAAAGCTGCTACTCTTTCACATTAAAATGCCTTGCCCTGTGTATAAATACCAATAATAATTCAGAAATATTCTACTGCATTACTCATGTTCCCAATAGACTTCAAAGGTAGGTTAGTATTTCCTGTCACAAAGTTAAAGAAATTCTGTTTATGATGTAGACAAATAATTGCACCCTTTAGTCGACTGCTACAAAAATGATAACATAACATAACATTGGTTAACATAAACCAATTCAGGATGTGTATGGTTACATTTAAAGCTTTTAAAAACACATCTTCGCTATTAAGACTGGGGCCCTAATAGTGTGGGAGTCCCACATCATGCTTATATTGATTGCAAAATGCTCCAATTGTTTTCAGCTGCTGTTTTATGTATGTTTTTAACTACTGGTTGTATTTTTACTTGGTTTTTTTAATTTGGTTTTAATTGTTAGTTGCCCAATCATATGTATGGAATGTGTTACAAATAAATAATAAACGGGAACACATGGTTTTCTTGAAGAAAATTCTAATTTAAATCTATCACCATCAGTAATAGTAGGAAATTTTTCACCCAAGATCATGGAGAACTAATGACTTAGCAACTGGTAGAAAAATAGAATTAAAAACTGTAATTAGGGAGGCCAGGTTATCAATTTTCTGTAATCTTTTTTTAAAAGAATCCAGGAAGTTGGCCTGAACAAAAAATAAATAAGGAGTGATCCTTTTAGCTAAGATAATCCTTTCTCCACGAATAATACATATTCCTAGCCACAGACATTTGGAATAAGGAGAACTATAAATCATTTCTTTACAGTTTCTGCTAGCATCTCACAGCCTGTTTGAAATATTCTGTAACACGCTCAAGAACCTTTCCAAACCCAATTAATATTCCACAGAACAAAAAATGAATCATCACATGCATTAAGGCTTCAGATATTCATGAATTCTGAAATTACTCACCCTCTTGTTTCTTCATCTTGTCCCTTCCCTCTCTGTATTTTAATCCACTGCTCCAACTGTAACATGGAATTAGTTCTTTGGATGACACGTTCAGATTCTATATGAGAGTGCATGGCGTTGTGATGGATCCCATCGCCGGAATCTCCCAGAATAAGGTTTACAGCTTTCTCTGACCCATTTAAGTGAACTGGCCTGTAATGGCCTGATGAAGCCACGCTGGCTGGCAAAGTTCCATACTCTGACCCAAAGGAATTCACTTTTACACTGTTGATTTTTGTTAAGGGTCTATCACGCCCAACTTTCTGAAACCCGTATTTTTCTGCCTCTAAGGACTTCTTCTCTTCCGTTTTGCATCCTTCTCTGTTCCGCTGATTGTTCTGAGTCTCTGGCTTAATTAGCTCTCGGTGGTTTGGAATGTTATTTAGTTCACGAGATGCTGTGTTTTCAAAAGTAATCTTGTCTGCTCTAAAAAAAAAAAAAGAAGAAGAAACATGCACTGGAGAACAACAATACTAGGAAGCAGGTTACAATTCTGTCTGTTCAACAGTGAGCCATTTTTTTTTTTCTTCCAGAACCCTCTGCACTTGCAGCCCCATCAGTTGGAAGAGGTCATCCCTTCAAATGGCTGAACTGATGCAATTACAGGCAATCCTATTCATTTCCCGACCATTCAAAGTTACAACAGGACTGAAAAAATTGACCTAGGACCGTTTTTCACACTTATGACCTTTGCAGCATCCCCACGGTCACGTGTTCAAAATTCCAACGCTTGGCAACTGGCCTGTACGGGTAGTCTTCAATCTACAACAGTTCATTTATTGACAGGTCAAAGTTACAATGGCTCTGATACAAGGGACTTATGACCGTTTTTCATATTCGTGACTGTTGCAGCATCCCCATGTTCATGTGATCAAAAAGCAGACACTTGGCAACTGGTTCTTATTTGCAACGGTTGCAGTATCCAAAGGTCATGTGATCCCCTTTGGCAACTTTCTGACAAGCAAAGTCAACGGGGGAAGGCAGATTCACTTAACAACCATGTTGCTAGCTTAACAACTAACAGCTGGCCTCCAAGGTCCCTTCCAACTTTATTAATATTAATATAGTGGTTCACTCAAGAAAGATCATAAAATGGGGCAAAACTCACAACAAATGTTTCACTCAGGAAAAGAATTTTTGGGCTCAGTTGTGGTCATAAGCCGAGGACCACCTGTACCTGCAAGTAGTGAGACCGCCTTAAAACAGAGTTTGACTTGCCTGCTTGAGTGATTTTTGAATGGCTAAAACAAACAAACAAAAAATGGATTGGGAGGGATGGTTCCAATAAACGCCCTGCTTATGCATAGCAGGGAATCTATCACCCATTATTTAGCCAAGGATTGGAAGCACGTCAGTGGACAGGGGCCACCCTAAACACTCTTTGTATGTGCAGTGCAGTTGAATGGGTGGGATGGGTATTAGAATTATAGAGATAAGGCTACGAGAAGCCTGTTCTGGTTATTTTTTAATAATATAATATATATATTATTATATTATATAATTATATTATATAATATAACCACATTAGTTATATTTTATGGCTTATTACTACAGCCTTTTCATCACAGAACAGTAGAAAATATTATTTTTCAACAACTGTGTTTGGGGCTGATTTTGGGGGTCCCAAAGAAAGAACCAGCCAGGGGATCCATGCCTAATTCAGTCGCTCATCCGCTCTCCCATTTCTTGAATTCCCCGGCACAGAGTTTTACTTGTTTGTTTCATTACTCATTTAATTTTTCTGTTCCGCTTCCAATCAAATAGAATGGCTTACAAGATAACAGCGAAACCAATCTTTAATATGACTGTTTTATTGTGTTTTACCACCGCAAAACAGCAATCATTCTCGACAGCCACTGAGAATGATATACAAATACAATAAGCAAATATAAGCTTTATAAAAAACACAGATGCTATCAAACTTCATTTAAAAAAAAGCAGGACAGGAAAATAACGGGAAACCTAACAAGCAATTGGGCTTTGAATAGCTGCTGTTCTACTTGGATGGACAGCCATGTTTTGAAAAGATAGCATGAGAACCACTTAAACAAGAGTTTCATAAGTGGGGGAACTGCTCCTGAGAAACTCCGACTCCTGACTGAATTCTCCAACATAAATCCAAGTAGAACTTTCCCCTGTAATCTAAATCAGAGGTCCCCAACCTCTAGGCCCGTGGTGGCGAACCTATGGCATGGGTGCCAGAGGCGGCACTCGGAGCCCTCTCTGTGGGCACATGCACCGTCTTCCCAGCCCCGCCTCCTCCCAAGGACCCCTCCTCACCAGCAGCCCTTCCGGAGGAGAGTCGCCCCTGGGCGCAGCCCATGCGAAGCAGCACAACCAAGGACATGCTGCGCCCCATCGCGCACAGATGCTGCTCCAGGACATGGGCAGAGGCCATGGTCGCCATGGCGTTGCTGGGCTGCCTGAGTGATCTGTGGCGGGCCGTGGAGGTGGTGGGTGGCCCAGTGGGCAGGGCAGAGCAGGGGTGGGGGTGGGGAGCTGGTTTTTGGGCACTCGGTCTCTAAAGGGTTCGCCCTCCCTGCTCTAGGCTGTGGCCCACTAGTGGGCCATGAGCTGTTTGTAACTGGGCCGCGGAAACAGCGGGCGAGCACACACTTCCCCACTTGTGCAAGCAGCGGGTGAGCACATGAGCACAAATGGAGCTGCACATGCGCGCTTGACAGCCACTTGCGCAAAACCATCCCCTCTCCCCCTCTCACAAAGCTGGAAAGATTGGGGATCTCTGATCTCTGGATGGTTCCAGGGGCTATTTTTTTATGTACTCCGATCCTTAAATTGACCAGGTATCTGATAAGTTAAGAAGTATATTGTTTTTGAGATTGATGTTACATGGTCCTATTATTCCTCCACTTAATCAGCTGCATTCTGCAATGGCTGTAGCTTTGAACATTTTTTAAAAAGTGAATCATTACGGTAACCCAATTGATAAATTATTAGCGTCTGAATCCAGTTAGGCTCAATGTCTTCCTTGTCTGTCTCCAGGGATACGTTGAAATAAAGGAAAACCCTCAGGCTATGCACCTGTTCCTTCACGAGAGTGCTACCTTCTCCACCACAATTCTCAGGGAGCAGACAGCATCCGTGGCCAGGAAGGCCTTTGCCCAGTTGTAGCCTTTCTTTGATCAGGAAGCTCTTCAGACAATTACCCATGCCTTGCTCACTGCATGGCTTGACTACTATAATACACTCTACATGGAGCTGCCTTTGAAGACTACCTGAAAGCTTCCTTTGGTCTAAAATGCAATAGTATAGGTAGCGATGGGCATGCCTTAATATGCCCATGTAATACCTCTGCTTCGCAAGCTGCGCTGGTTGCCAATTTGCTTCCAGGTGCAATTTGAGATGCTAGTTGTTACCTGCAAAACCCTTTGTGGCATAGGGCCAGATGACTTAATATGTACCTGGCTGATTTTTATCTGGTATTGTTGGTGCATTTCAGGTTCCCTCAATTAAAGGAATAGCATATATCAGGATCCTGGAAGCACACCTTCTCTATAGTCGTATCTGCCCTCTGGAATAACATTCCTATCGAAATTTGGGCAGCCCTCACCTTACTGGTGGTTTGAAGGAGCTTGAAGACCTGACTTTTCACCAGGGCTTTAGTAAAGGTGAGGGATGCTCCCATGAATGGTGTGAGTTTATTTCTGTTCCAGTCCAGTTTTTGTCATCTTGTTATCTTTTATTCCTTTAAATAAAAGGAATTCAGTTTCTGATTGTATTTTTAAAAATGTATTTTTCTTGTGAGCCGCCCAGTCATTGGGAGTCGGCTGGCATACAGATTTGATAAATGCCATCTTAGTTTCTAGTTCTGAAAACTACTTATACACAGCACCTCTCTCTTAGCTAGTTTCCACTTCAGTTTGTTGACCCTTATAGATAAAATAAGAGATAAGATAACCTTTATTGTCATTTTTTTTTTACTGTGGGCATAACGGCACATCAAAAATGAAATTTAGTTGCCCGCTCTCAAAGTGAAACACATATGTGACACACACTTAAACATACTATGTACAACATATGCATAGACCCACACCCCTACATATACATAACAAATAAATATTAAATAAATGTCCATCTTGAATATATAACGGAAGGAGTTATCCAACTATTAGCTATATGGCAACGCATACGAAAAGAAGTAATTATTTTATCATAGCCACTGCCCCAAAGAATCATACGTATCTATATCTATTGGGGAAAACTACGTGTGTCACTTTAGATGTATCTGTGTATCAATCTCACGTAACTAGAAAAGAACCAGAAATATTGCCTACTACCTGTTCCTGACTCTTTCACACTGATAATGAGGATGGTTTTGAGTCTGATAATGGGAATGAGTCCATCTGCCAGAGATCCCCTGAAAACCTAGTCCTAACCCTGATTGCAATTTTATATTCAGAACCAGAGCATGAGAGACTCCAAACTTTATTTACAACTGGATTTTTACAGCCAGACCCTGAAATTAAAGGTGTAGTCCTTTAAGCCATAAACATTTCCAGATGATATATGGTGATATAAATGCATAAATATAGCTTGATTGATAAAAGCAAAGTCAATATCTTAAGGTAGAAATTTACTTCTTAGTGGCCCACCAGAGGCCTCTGGGGTGCTCATAAGCAGGACTGTTATTATATTCCCAACACTTTCCTGCTGTACCTTTTAGATCAGTGGTTCTCAACCTTTTTAATGCCGCGACCCCCAACTGGTGGTAAGTCGAGGACTACTCAACCGGTCATAAGTCGAGGACTACTCAACTGGTGCAGCACCGTTTGCAGAATGGGACTTTTGGCGGGCTCAGCAGGGCAGAGACAGCCTGGACAATTCCTATTGGCTTTTGAAAGCCAATAGAATTAGACTCTATTCAAGAGAGTCTATTCTATTGGCTTTCAAAAGCCAATAGAATAAAAGGGAGTAGCACAGCTAAGGAAAAGGGGGAAAAAATGGCGGACTGCGTTGTTTGGCGACCCCCGTGAAATGGTCGTTTGACCCCAAATGGGGTCCCGACCCACAGGTTGAGAACCGCTGTTTTAGATGCATGCTGCTCCTAATCTAGAGATGACATTACATTTTTGGGATGAAAAAGCTTTTTTTTAAAAAAAAATTATAAATTTTTACAATTTTACAATAAAAACCCCTTCCCCGATCCCTCCCAGCCCACCCCAAAACCCTCCCCCATTCTTCCCAGAGCTGAATACAGGGTTAACTATCTTATAAGAAAAAACTTTTAAACCCAAATAAACCTCAAGCAAGTATAATCACATTCAGTAAACAAATTATTAAATACTTTAACTCCATTATATATAAAAAAACAGAAAGAGAAAAAGAAGAAAAGAAAAAAAAATAATAAATAATAATAATAATAATAACAAAAAAAACAAAAACAAAACTATTCTACACTTCTAAAT